GTAACATTTTAGTATATTATTAAATTTCTGTGGTTTCTATTTTTTACTCAGCTTTTTGTTTTCAAAAATACTTAACTAAAAATGGAACTTGTAGAACTTAAGAAAAATTGCCTCTTAAATGCTAATTCAAGTGTTTTGCCAAAATTATAACCACTGTTTTTATTATGTAATTTCATATATAAATGAACTCTTTACAAATGTTAAAAAATCATCTGCCTTTGAGACTATTTCAAGGATTTAGAACTTCTGAATGTGGTAGTTTATTTGTTGTGGCTATTGTGAATAATGGTTTTTGATTCAGTTCGGATTGCTTCTACAGAAAATGTTGAGCAGAGATTCTTCTGGAATTCTGTCTTGCTGTTTTATCAAACCGTGGTTTATAGAACATAATAATTATAATATCACAAAAGCCTTCCTCTAGATTTTTAGCTGCTAACACTTTAATTCATTTTTTGTGTCCCATTTAAAAAATAATGTGAGAATGAAACGTATTTCATTGAGAGAACTGAAAAATGATAGATAACTTACTGGGAAAACCACTAATAAGTTGAAAATTTACTACAACAAACCAATATTAGCTTAAATTACAGCATTTAGACCCAGTGTAGATTGAGTTTATTTACAGCAGTTACAATAAAACACAGTAATAGTATTATGTACCATAACGATTCCCAGTAAATTGAAATATGTTTAACTTTTGATGTCTAGTTTGGTTGATGTCTGGTTGATTGTGCTTATTCAGTTTATCTGTTTCATGGTCTCATACAGTACTACCAGATGGCCAGATGTAATTATATCTCTAGATGTATCAAAAGGTTATTGTTTCAATTCTTCATGCTTACTTCATCATAGATCTGAATATATCCATGCTCATTATGATAAAACAAAAATTGAATGTATCATATGTCATATTTAAAAATGTTGAAATAAACCCAGGCGTGGTGGCTCATGCCTGTAATCCAAGCACTTTGGAGGCCAAGGCGGGCGGATCACCTGAGATCGGGAGTTCAAGACCAGCCTGAGCAACATGGTTAAACCCCGTCTTTAAAAATAGAGAAATAAATAAGTAAAAAAAAATGTTGAAATAAATAAATTGAATTAAATTTTTGGAAGAAAAAGTGAAAGTCTTTAAAAAAAAATCTCTGTATCATTGAAGTCTTTGTGAATAAATGTTAATAGATTTATAAGAAAAGTCGATCCGTGATTGCTGAGTAACAAATTACCCTGAAGCTTAGTGGCACAGCATATATTTATTATCTTACAGTTTCTATGGGTCGGGAATTTGGGAGCAAGTTAGCTGGGTATTTCTGAATCAGTGTTCCTTATGAGATTGTGGTCAAACTGCTGGGCACAGCTGTAGTCTTAAGGTTGTGCTGGGACAAGCTTGCTCACATGTGGCTATTGATAAGAGGTCCCAGTTCCTTGCTAGCTGTTGGCTGAAGGCCACGTTTCTTTGCCCCACATAGTGTTCTCCATAAGGCTGCTGGAGTGTCCTTGGGGCATACCAGGCGATTTCTTAGAAACAAGTCACTAAATTGAGTCTGTGCTCAAAGGGTAGGAAATTAGGTTCTACCTTTCTGAAGGGAGGAGTGAAGAATTTGAGGATGTACTGTAAAACAACCACAATGATGTTGATCAAGGGAGTCTTACAGCATATACAGTAAACTGTACTAGTTCCTTAAGAAAGTAGCTCTTATCTCTGACACTTTATCAGTTACCTTTGTGGTCTTTATAATAAAGCAGAATAAAAACTGTTGAATTGGCCTCTTGATTGACTTACAGTCAAGTTTCTCAGTAGGATTCTGTGCAAGCAAAGCTGTCCACTTGTTAAGATGTACTTTTTGATTCAGTGACTTATGTTACTGTTTACTCTTACAGAACTATTATATGCCAGAAATGTATAGGAGTAGAGATGTTTTCTATATGTCTTGCAGTATTTGCTAGCTTTACTTTAATGTGTACTTATTATTTTATTAACATTCTCCATTTCAACTTTAGGTAGAACATGTAGAATCTCTATTTTGTGTTTATTATTTTTGTGTTGATTGTTAGTTAAAATTGCTAACAGATAAGCAATAAAAGCGAATTGAAGGATGTCATGTCAAATATATCTTATATGTATCTATTTTTCCTCAAATGAACTATTAAGTTTTCTTTCCCTGTGCTCATTTGTAGTCATCTTCCTACTATGATTTCCTAATATCTTTATTATATCTTTTTAAAGCTATTATTGTTAATCATTTTTTTATCATCAGTATCCTTGGAAAATCTTACTTACTGACCCTTACTTACGTTATCGGTGTGGAATTAAGCTGTTGTTTTTATGCTACCAAGCTATGAAATTAAATCTAAGCTGAGAGGTTGATTCTTGGTTGGCATTTTGCCCAGCTGGGTAGATGAAAGGATGGTAAGAGGACAAGGAGTCATACACGATTGAGGCATTGTTTAGAGACTGCTTGAAATAATGGTCTTTGAAAATTAAGCTGGGAAGGAGAGAGAGTACAGGAAGAGGTGAGCACAGGAACTGTGTCATGGCGGGAGCTAAGGATATAGGGAGGTGGAGGCATTGTGGACAACTGTTAAAAGAACTAATCAGATGAATAGGGAGGGGCTGTAACTCTAGGTGTTTAAAAAGGAAATTGGAAGTCAGGTTTCTGGCACCTTGTAAGAGGCAGTCTAGTGTGGTGGATAAGAATGTGGACTTTGGAGTATGAGATTTAATTTTAAATCTTGATTCTTTTATTTCCTTGCTATGTAGTCTTGGGCAGTCTGCGTAGCTTTTCTCTCAGCCTCAGTTTCTTTATCAATAAAGTGAGAGCCCAATTTGGTATGTAAATTTAGAAGCGCAGTTCAAGCAAGGCACAAACTAGGTGTTAGTAATTACTGCTATTATTTTATTGTTATTTGCTCTAACTTGCAAAATCTTACATTATAATTTTAACTTAGTTATAAACAATTATATCATTTTTTTGAATTGGATGAAAATGGTTCAGACGTCAAAAATTTTCCATCCCGACATTATGTTAATTGAAATAAGCCAGGCACAGAAAGATAAATGCTGTATGTTATCACTCATATATGGAAGCTAAGTAAGTTGATTTCATATAAGTAGAAAGTAGAATAGTGGTCACCAAATGCTGGGAAGGGTGGTAGGGAGTTAGGGAGAGGTTGGTTAACAGATTAAAAATTACAGCTCGATTGGAGGAGTAAGTTCTTTTGTTGTTTAGCACTGTAGGGTAACTATAGTTAATTTTATATTTTCAGATAGCTTGAAGAGCAGAATGTTCCCAACACAAAGAAATAGTGTTTTAGGTGATAGATACGCTAATTAGGCTGATTTGTTCATTACACATTGCATATCAGTGTATCAAATTATCACATTGTACTCTATGAATACATAAAATTATTTTTTAAAAAAAACCTTTCCCTTCTGACCCAGTCCCTTCTTTACTTAGTTCTTACTATCATCCTGCCCAAACAAATAGCCGTAGTTTCGTTATTTATCCTTTCACATATGTATAAGCCAGATTTCTCTTCTCCCCCAACACAAATGGGAAATACTGTACAAACCTTTTCTCTGTCTTGCATTTTAAATTTAACAAATTGATATGAAGATTTTTTTTTAAGGGTTGAAAACTTCATTACCTTTTTCTTGTATCCTTTTGCTGCATGTTGGATTTTAACACAGTTTATTTTTCCAGTCCTCTGTAAATGGACAAATGCACATTTTTGATTTTACAGTCAATATCACAATGAATAACTTGTACACATGCCATTTTGAACATGTGAGTATATCTCTAGAATAAATTCATAGACATAAATTGCGTTTGTGACCTTCATACTGACAGAATACTCTCTCCCTGTCAGCTACCAGTTTATTCACACCAGCTCATGTTTAAAACTGCTTGTTCCTTAGTCTTGCCACCAGAATACGTTTTTGTATATACTAGATTTTGCTAACCTGATAACTGAAAAATATTTCAGTATAACTTAAATGTGTATTTCTCTTATGGGTGAGGTTGAAGTTTTACTCATTTAAAGTCATTTTTATTTTTATGGTTTAGTATCTATTCATATACTTTGTCTTTTTTTCTCTTACAATGTTGGTCTTGATATAGAAACACTTTGAGTTAGAGGAATTAGCCTTTTTGTGATAAGATAAACTGAGCTTGTTTTTCATTTGTCTGTTGACGCTTCATTCTGAGGTTTTTGATTTTTTTTTTTTTAATGTAATCACATTACTTTTTTGATGCATGGATTTTTTGTCTTCTTACTCCGGGATTAAATAAATTGTGTTTTCCTCTAATGTGTTTCCAAGTTCCTTTTGTAAAAGGTAACTGCCAAGTTGTCTCAGTACTTTTTCTTTTCTCTTTTTGAGATACTGTCTTAACTCTGTCACCCAGGCTGGAATGCAGTGATATGATCACAGATCTCTGCAGCCTTGAACTCCCAGGCTCAGATGATTCTTCCCCCTCAGCCTCCTTAGTATCTGGGACTGCAAGCACACACTGCCATGAGTGGCTAATTTTTTTTTTTTGGTGTGGACTGGGTTTCCCCATTTTGCCCAGACTGGTCTTGAATTCCTGGGCTCAAGTGATCTGTCCACCTTGGACTCCTAAAGTGCTGTCATTACAGGATTGAGTAACTGTGTCTGGCTTCAATACTGTTTATTGCTTAATTTATCTCTTTGTTGGTTTGGATGTCACTTTTATAAAATCTGAATTCCTAGTATATTTGGATCTATTTCTAGGCTTTGTTTTTTCACTGTTTAAACTAATATACTGATGGTTATGTTTTAAAGAAATAAAATGGCTACACATAGCATTAAGGAGTGTTAGTGTAAAGAGAACTTAAATTTCTCGATTGTACTCCATGACCCAGGTGCTTTTTACGTGTATTAACTCACTTAACTATTATCATTCTCACTTATTCAGTTTGCAATTAGAATTTGTGGAATGTGCAGTTGGCTAAAATTTTTTTAACATTGTTTTCTTGTTTAGCTGTGATGCCGATCCATCTGCCCTAGCAAAATATGTTCTGGCTTTGGTAAAGAAAGACAAAAGTGAAAAAGAGTTAAAGGCATTATGTATTGATCAGCTGGATGTATTTCTTCAGAAAGGTAAGATCTTTGATTTGAAAATACTACTATATTTTAAAAAGTTATTTAAGGCTGGGCACATTGGCTCACATCCGTAATCCCAGCACTCAGGAGGCTGAGGTGGGTGGATCACCTGAGGTCAGGAGTTCAAGACCAGCCTGGTCAAACATGGTGAAACCCCTTCTCTACAAAAAATACAAAAATTAGCTGGGCATGATGGTGAGTACCTGTAATCTCGGCTACTCGGGAAGCTGAGACAGGAGAATTGCTTGAACTCAGGAGGTAGAGGTTGCAGTGAGCCAAAATCGTGCCATTGCATTCCAGCCTGGATGACAGAGTGAGACTCTTGTCTCAAAAAAAGAAAGAAAATAAATGTTATTTAAAATAAGATTATCAACAGAATATTAAAGGAACTCGGTAAGAGGCCCTAATTTTAGCAAAATTAAATATTATTGAGTATATCCATAGCTTATTTAAAATGGACGCCACCTCAGTAATGTCCATGTGCTTATTTAAGCATGTTATTTTTTCTTACGTAGGTGAAAATGTTAAGAAAACGACGGAATGGTTATTTATTTAAAGCTAGTACTGCTTAGGAAACTGCTTTGAATCTTACCTAGCACATTGCTTTTTTGCTTTTTGCACCTTGCCACATCTAAATAATGATTGTGTTTGGCACACTGACCAAGTTACGTGGAGAAGACTAGTCATGGCTGGAGGTGACTGTCGCAGAGACTGCGACCATTCCAGTCCCTATCATCCTGAAAATAACTTGAATCAATATTGCCTCAGGACTTGTGCCATGACACACTGGTTGGGAAGCTGTTGCTATTAGTATATTTTCTTTCTGGGGGGATGGAGTCTCGCTCTGTCGCCCAGGCTGGAGTGCAATGGTGTGATCTCGAGTGCAGTGGCACAGTATCGAGTGCAATGGCATGATCTTGGCTCACTGTAACCTCCGACTTCCAGGTTCAAGTGATTCTCCCACCTCAGCCTCCCAGGTAGCTCCCAGCAGGCACCTGCCATCATACCTGGCTAATTTTTGTGTTTTTGTAGAGATGGCGTTTCACCATGTTGGCCAGGCTGGTCTTGAACTCCTGACCTCAGGTGATCCACCCTCCTTGGCCTCCCAAAGTGCTGGGATTACAGATGTGAGCCACCATGCCTGGCCGACATTAGTATGTTTTCTAGATTTATAAAAGTCAAAAGTATATTTCATCATATTAGAGATAAGATGTATAGAAGGAATTAATCTTAACAAATGTCTTTTAATTGGTGGTGTTTGGTTTTATTTCTAGAGACACAGATATTTGTGGAAAAACTTTTCGATGCTGTGAATACAAAGAGTTACCTACCTCCTCCAGAGCAGCCATCATCTGGAAGCCTGAAGGTAGAATTTTTTCCTCACCAAGAAAAAGATATAAAGAAAGAAGAGGTAAGGATTTGTGTTGTACCTTACAGGTTGTTTAAACACGTAAGAGGAATAACTAAACTGAGTTTTATTTTCTCTGTCTTTGTGATGGGAGTCCTGATCTTTGTGTTGGGTGTCCTCAGGACCACTCCCAGTTTAAATGACTTCTTTATGAGGACTCTGCTTATAATGTTGCTCATGGCCCTGGCATATTTCAGCAAAAGGATACAAAGCAAAGTCAGCAGATGGAAAAGGTGTATGAGGCCAAGTCTAGTGGAAAACAAGCATAAGCTTCCAAAGTCTTCAAAGTTGCACAGGATGTGCTTAATTCCCCTAGCAATGAACTAAACAACACGTGGGGATTAGGCTCCTTATAAACTCTGCTCAGGGTTCTTATTTGGGACTGGTCACATAGACATTGGCTACGTAGTATGTACCAAAATTCCACACTCCTGGGAGGAAAACAGATGTTCAGCATAGACCATATTGTTTCATAAACGATTCAGGCACAGTGAACCATGTCTTATTAGGGAATAGTGGGAACCCTCGAAAAATCAAAGTGCCCAGGAGCCAGCCAAAGACCAGCCTTACAAGCAGGCTGGCTTTCTGAGGATAATGGTGTCAGTTCTGCTTTTAATCTGCACAATATCTTACAGACATGGAGACGTATTATCTGTTCTATAAAAATTATTAGGTTGACAGTCGATCTGTTTGCTTTTGTCATTTATGCATTTAGTAGGGAACTATTTTTAAGGTAGTAATACACAAGGACCTTCATAGGTCAGTGAAAATGACTTCATACTTCAAGAGGTCCTGAAATTTTTGTGTATATTTTTTAACTTTCTCTCTTCGTCCTTATTTAACAGTCATATAATAATTCATATCTTTTCAAGTTGATATTAAAAGATTATACTTTGGCCAGGGTGGGCGTGGTGACTCATGCCTGTAATCCCAGCCTTCTAGGAGGCCGAGGCTGGAGGATCACTTGAGCCCAGGAGTTTGAGATCAGTCTGGGTAATATAGTGAGACCTCATTTCTAAGAAAAAATATTTTAAAATTAGTCAGGTGTGTTGGGGGGGATGGTGCATGCCTGTAGTCCTAGCTACTTGAGGGGCTAAGGTGGGAGAAATGCTTGAGACCCAGCGGCTGAGTCTGCTGATTGAAGCACTACACTGAAGCCTGGGCAACTGAGTAAGACCCTGTCTCAAAAAAAAAAAAAACCTATAATTTTAGTGAAAATAATTGTTGACAGTTAAGCCATATGTTTCTGCATTAAGCCCCAGCTTAAGGTCACACACATTTTGGTTCCACAAATCACTGCTTTGTGACCTTGAAAGCATTACTTTTCTGAGTCTCATTTTACTAAGCTGGGAAATGGAAATATTAAAGTGATTGGTGCTTTATATACATTATTTATTCCTCACACGTGGCACCTGGTAGGTTCTCAGTAAATAGTAGCTGCTGTTATTTTTGAGATTGTAAGAGATACTGCTGTTGTGACCTTTGTTTTTTCTCCTTTTAATGCTTTTTTCAGATTATATATGAATAATATATTTTATTATTCAATAAAATATACAAATATGTGTAATTCTCAAATGTATTTTTATCTCTATCTGAATATATTTTTACACATGTATATTTATATATTTTCAGATACACACATACAATATCCCAATCAGTTTATCTTCCTGGGAAGAACAGAAATGTAAATTTTACTAAACATGTTTCATACCTAACAGTATAGGTGTTCTGTTAGGAAGAAAGGAATGGTGTGGGTACTGTGTTGGCAGTTGCTTATGCCAAATAGAGATATGCAATGATTTATTCAAGTTTTGCCCACTGGTGGAACTTTGGGTTGGTTTCAGGTTTTTGCTGTTAAAAATTATACTTTGTCCGGGAGTGGCGGCTCATGCCTATAATCCTAGCACTTTGGGAGGCCAAGGCAGGCAGATCACCTTAGGTCAGGAGTTTGAGACCAGGTTGGCTAACATGGTGAAACCCCATATATGCTAAAAATACAAAAATTAGCCAGGCATGGTAGCCAGAGCCTGTAATCCCAGTTACTCAGGAGGCTGAGGCAGGAGAATCGCTTGAACTGGGAGGCAGAGGTTGTAGTGAGCCGAGACTGTGGCATTGTACTCCAGCCTGGGGCGAGGAGTGAAACTCTGTCTCAAAAAAAATATGCGCGCGCGCGCTCTCGCACTCTCTCTCTCTCTCCCATACTTTAATTATCAAAAAATCTTGAGTAAATCATTGTTCCTTGGCTTGAGAAGTAGTCTTTCTCCCAATCGAGTTAGTAGCAAATCCTTAGTCTTATTATCTATGGATGTAATAATACTTCATTGCTGTTTTCTCAGTTAATTGTGGGAGATACTTATACCTGATCTTTAAGAATTGTCAAAATGCCAGATGGCAATCTGCGTTTAAAATGCTGTGGCTGTGGTGGCTCACACCTGTAATCCCAGCACTTTGGGAGGCAGAGGCGGGTGGATCACCTGAGGTCAGGAGTTCGAGACCAGCCTGACCAACATGGTGAAACCCCATCTCTACTAAAAATATAAAAATTAGCCAGGCACGGTGGTGGGTGCCTGTAATTCTAGCTACTCTGGAGGCTGAGGCAGGAGAATTGCTTGAACCTGGAAGGTGGAGGTTGCAGTGAGCTGAGATTGAGCCACTGCACTCCAGCCTGGGCAACAGGGTGAGACCCTATCTCCAAAAAAAAAAAAAAAAAAAAAAAAATGCTGTGACTATACTAAAAGTTTGCAGATGGGCACGTACTGTGAAATAAGTGATCTGTCAGATTACTTGCAAGAGTGCATTGAGTAAATCGAGGAGAAAGGGTGCATCAGAAGGGTTGTATTAATACCCAGTCTTTCGTCTGGTCTGGGAGGAGAGCTGAAATAGGTGGAAAGAGTACAAAAGTACTTGAATTTAAAAAGACAAACTGTTGAAAGTATGCTTTAAAGATGATTTCTCCTAGTCTAGTCTGTTAATAGGATTTCTGTTTGATTTCTCATCTAAAGTGGCACGCTTATTTTTATTTTTATTTTTATTTTTGAGATGGAGTCTTACTTCGTTGCCCAGGCTGGAGTGCCATGGCACCATCTCAGCTCACTGCAACCTCTGCCTCCTGGGTTTAAGCAATTCTCCTGCTTCAGCTTCCTGAGTATCCCTCTTGGAATTCCCTCCTGGGATTACAGGCACGTGCCACCATGCCTGGCGGCTAATTTTTTTAGTTTTAGTAGATATGGGATTTCAGCATGTTGGCCAGGTTGGTCTCGAACTGCTAACCTCAAACAATCCACCCACCTCAGCCTACCAGAGTGCTGGGATTGTAGGTTCATGAGCTATCGTGCCCAGCCTAAAGTGTCCACATTTGTGACAGTCAGAGGCTATTATCAAAGGGATGCTCAAACAGCTGACATAAACTGAGACACGTATACCCTAGCTGTAGACTACCTGCATAAGAATATCTTATGGTTCTCAGCAATGCAAAGTCTTGAATCCTGTCTTATTTATAGAAGCCACTTGCTCAGTATTTCCTGAATTTGTTTAACCTCTAAGTCCTTTTTCCTAATTATCTAGAAAAACTATTCCTTTCATTCCTATTGTTGACAACTCAACAATATAGTCTGGAGAAGGTAGCACTAATCTAGAGAATATTTTCCAGGGTTACTTTCTAGTAGCTATGTATAATGAATGGCAGCATCTTGTAGGAAGCAGGAATATATAGCTGTCATGCTGCTGTGAGAAACTGGAGAACTGTTTTACCTTACATATTGTTTTCCCAGATACGTGTGTGTGTGTGTGTGTGTGTGTGTGTGTGTGTGTGTGTATATACACACACACACATACACATTTATCACTTGGTGAGTTCTAATTCATTCTCCTATATTCCTTGATGTGTTTGGTACCAGACCATATCCATGAAACCAAAATATGAATGTATGTTAGACTTTTAAAAGAATAAAATCAGATTTCCATTAATTATGTTAAAATGAGCATACTTGCTTAAAATGTTTTCTCACCACTATTATCTAAGATAAGTTTATCATTCACATGAACTTTCATTAGACCGTAATACTGTTAAATGATTGACTATACTTAGTATTGTTTGGATACTTTTAGAGGATGACAATTTTGCTTCTACATTATATAAACTGATTTTTATGTTAACTAAATGTTAATGTTAATAAAGTCATTAAAGTAGTAATGTGTCTAAGACTGCTACAGTGGAATAACTACAAAACTCGTACACCTTTTGTGTGTGTGTGTATCAGATCACTAAGGAGGAAGAGCGAGAGAAGAAGTTTTCTAGAAGGCTAAATCACAGTCCTCCCCAGTCAAGCTCCCGATACAGGGAAAATAGGTAAGTGGTTCATTGCACCATGCTTAGTGTTTCAACTTAAGTTATCTTTTATATGAATGTTTAGACTTGGATTATCTTTTACATAGAGGCAAGTAATATCTACTCTTTTATTGATCTAGGAAAATATAACTATGGTCTGTTTCTACCATGAAAATCTAGGTCAGATTTGTACGTCTTGGGAATGAGTTTAGAACAGTGCTTGATTTATATTAGCTGGTACTTTTTTATTCCTAATTTCAGATTCCAGTAGAATCTTAATGTGTGGCTCTTTTTTTGCCAAAAGTTACCCTTTAGTGTGATTAAATTGTTGTTCTCATTCAGGCTTCAAAAGCACTTAGAATACAATGCACATGATACATGTCTGTAAGTATGAGACTATACGTACAAGGTAGTATGTTCTGTTTGTACTCTAAGTCATATGTATAAGTGTCTTTATCTACAGATGGCTAATTTTATACAAGCCAATGTGTATAAGACTAAGGGTTAAGGCTTTAAAAAGATTGTTTTTTATTTAAAAGGGATTTAGGGTACTAAACTCAGTTTAAGCTCATTTTTTTCAGTTGTCTTTTGGTAGAGTAAAAAGTTATGTTACAAGAATTAAATACGACTTTTACATTTAATAAGCTTTTGCCGGTGTCACTTAAAAATTATTTGTATAAAAGTGATCATATATTTCTTTAGAAGCCGTGATGAGAGGAAGAAAGATGATCGTTCTCGCAAAAGAGATTATGATCGAAACCCTCCTCGAAGAGATTCATACAGAGACCGGTACAATAGAAGACGAGGACGGAGTCGCAGTTACAGCAGGAGTCGAAGTCGAAGCTGGAGTAAAGAGAGGCTTCGTGAGAGGGACAGAGATAGAAGCAGGACTAGAAGCAGAAGCAGAACACGAAGCAGGGGTAAATAGTACATGTATATTTTGGTTACCTTTTTATTGTGAAAAACTCCATATTTAAATGTTTTTAAAAATTGCTTAACATTTTGTCAGTGTTATCTTCATTTTTTTCTATTATGATATATTCTGTGGTGCAAGAGAATGCTTTTAAAAAATTCCTTTAAAAATTTTATTTCATGCAAATTAAAATCACAGTTACCACTGCACATTAAGTGGGGATAGCCACAATGAAAAAGACTGATTGTCTTCAGTGTTGGTGAGAATGTAGATAAGCTGTATGTAACTCTTTGGAAAGCATTTTGGCAGTATATAAAAATGTTAAAACTACACTTAGCATATGGCTCTGCTATTCTGCTTCTCGTTATTTACCTAAAAAAAAATGAAAGTGTACTTCCACAGAGATATTTGTACTCAAATGTTCTAGCAGCCTTATTTGTAATAGCCAGAAACTAGAAACAACATAAATGTCCATCAACAGGTGAATGTGTAAACACGTTGTGGTATATCCATACCATAACATGGATAAAAAGAAAAGAACTATTATACATGCAATAAAATGGATGAATCTCCATGTAATTATGCTGAGTGAAAGAAGGAGGCCAACAGTAAATATGTATATTAAAAATTTATTTATTTATTTTTTTGTCTTTGAGACAGAGTCTTGCTCTGTCACCCAGGCTGGAGTGCAGTTCACTGAAACCTCTGCCTCCTGGGTTCAAGTGATTATCGTGCTTCAGCCTCGCGAGTGGCTGGGTTTACAGGCGAGTGCCACCATGCTTAGCTAATTTTTGTACTTTTAGTAGAGTCACATTGGGGGTTTTGCTATGTTGGCCAGACTGATCTCGAATTTCTGACCTTAGGTGATCCACCCACCTCAGCCTCCCAGAGTGCTAGGATTATAGGCCTAAGCCACTGTGCCCAGAGTAAAATTTTTTAAATGCAGACTAATCTATGATGACAGAAAACAAAGCAGTGGTTGCCTGAGATGGAGTAAAGGAGGGATAAAGTAAAAGTTATAAAGGGGTATGATGATTCTTTTGGGAGTGATGAGTATATACATCATTTCAGTTGTAGTATTGTTTTCAGAGGTGTATACCTTAATTAAAACTTATTATACAGTTAAAATATGTTCAGTTTATTATATATCAGTTATACTTCGAAACTATTTTTAAAAGTTTAAAAAGTTTTATTTCAAATGTATATTTTTACAACAGCATGTCATTCCCAACATGTATGATTTTTCTTCTAGTACATATTATTGGAAGTAATATACTGTAGTAAAATAACAAACACTTTTCAGTAAAACACCTTTACTCAAACTTTTTTTGCTACTCTTAATACTATTTACGGCCTTTATATAAACCCTGTATTCTGTTACTCTTTTCTTAGAAATGTTCCCCAGCTGTGATTTAGGTATATTAGGCTTCTTGGCACGTTGCTTCAATTAACTAATCTCTTTAATTTCTTTTCTCTTAGGACCATATGCATAGTCTAGTTAGTTTCTTTGCATGTGTTTAATATGAGCTCCTTTTGGCTCATTTGTTCTTACCTTAATAAACAGACATAGTAATAACTTTAGATGGATGACTACAAAATGTTCATCACAGGAAAAATGACCATACTTTATTGCATGTTTTGTTTTGTGGTCTGTAATTATGCATACCAAGATTGAAAGATGAAGAAAATAAAAAATTTATTTTTTCTATGAACAAAGCTCTCAGGAAAAAAATTAAATATGGTCGCTTTATGTGGTTTTATTTGTAGTTTGGGTTATATTGAAAAAAGCTTTTAACATTGTATATTAATTTAATATTTTTTTTATAAAAGGATTTTGCAAAATTTAAAACTTTTCTATGTTTATAAAAATATTACTATTTCTTACATATGGGACTTTTGTTGTTTTAAAATACAGTGTAGTTTTCTAAGTTAATTATCTTCTATTGCAGAAAGGGATCTGGTAAAACCTAAATATGACCTGGATAGAACAGATCCATTAGAAAATAATTATACTCCAGTCTCTTCGGTACCTAGTATTTCATCTGGCCACTACCCTGTACCTACTTTGAGCAGCACTATTACAGTAATTGCTCCTACTCATCATGGTAACAACACTACTGAAAGTTGGTCTGAATTTCATGAAGACCAGGTGGATCATAACTCTTATGTAAGACCACCCATGCCAAAGAAACGGTGTAGAGACTATGATGGTAAGTCTTTCAGCTGTTTCATGCAGTATTTAGTATTTCCAGCTGCCTAAATTCTGTGTTTATGTTGTATACAGTTTTTCAAAGACTTAAACTCTGAAATAGTGGGAAATTAGCCTTAATCACTTCTTGAATTCCTCAATATGATTGAAATGGTTGTTAGTTACCACTAATTATTTGAGTATCAATTTAAAGATACTGTTTATTTGCAAGTAAGTCTTAATAAATTGTGGGAATTTACCAAACAAGGGTAAATATCTACTGAGTTATTAGACAATATGCTACTGAAACATCATTGACAAAAGTCATTTGTTTAGAATTTTCTAGGTTTTCTAGGTACATTGGACTGTAAGTAGAAATGTACCTAGAAATGTAAATGTCACTTATGTAAGAATTGTATTAAAGAATTGAAGACCTTTAAGGATTTGCTGTAAAAGATTTTTAAGTAGTATTAAAGCCATAATTGCAATTTTTTGTTTAGTTTTAAGTGAGAGATTTAAATGAAGGACATTTCTAAAGACAAAAATTATATTTAAGTCTCATCTCTCTTGTTAGCTAGGTTACTTATTTTAATTTGATTTTTTTTTTAAGTATGTATATGTGTTAGTTCATTTAACATTGCCCTAAAGGAATACCTGAGCCTGGGAAATTATAAAAAATAGAGGTTTCTTTGGCTCATGGTTCTGCAGATCATACAAAAAGTGTAGAGCCAGCATCTGCATCTGGCAAAGGCCTCAGGAAGTTTACAGTCATGGTAGAAGGCAAAGGGAGAGCCACAAAGAGGGAGCAGGAGTGGAGCTGGTGGGGAGGAGGGGAGGTGCCATGCTCTTTTAAACAACCAGCTCCTGTGAACTAATAGAGGGAGAACTCACTTGTTACCCCGGGGAGGGCACCACACTATTCATGAAGAATCTACTTCTATGACACCCTAAAAGCTCCGCCAGGCCCCACCTCCAACATTGTCACATTTCCTTTTTTTTTTTTTTTTTTGACAGTCTATCCTGTCCCCCAGGCTGGAATGCAATGTTGCGATTTTGGCTTACTGCAGCCTCCACCTCCCAAGTTGTAGTGATTCTCCTGCTTCTGCCTCCTGAGTAGCTGGGCTTACAGGGGCCCGACACAATGTCTAGCTAATTTTTGTATTTTTAGTAGGTTTCACCATGTTGGTCAGGCTGGTCTCGATCTCCTGACCTTAGGTGAGTCACCACGCCTGACCAGATTGTCACATTTCAACATGAGATTTGGAGAGGATAAACATCCTAACTATATCAGTATGTTAAATATACTATTACTTGATAAATATATTACTAGAGAAGAGCAAGTAGCTCTTGGGAAATGGTTAATTATCCTTTTGTCCAATATTAATACTACTCATATTTTTAAATACTTTTGCTAACTTATAGAAAATATATATTTCCAGTGGTTTTGATATTTGTTTCTAACTATTCTTTCCTCATAGAAAAAGGTTTTTGTATGAGAGGAGACATGTGTCCTTTCGATCATGGAAGTGACCCAGTAGTTGTAGAAGATGTGAATCTTCCTGGTATGCTGCCTTTCCCAGCACAGCCTCCTGTTGTTGAAGGACCACCTCCTCCTGGACTCCCCCCGCCTCCACCAATTCTTACACCCCCACCTGTGAACCTCAGGCCTCCAGTGCCACCTCCAGGTCCATTGCCACCAAGTCTCCCACCTGTCACAGGTAAGTAAATATGTTTGCCTGTATTTATCTAGCCATTCTTAGTCTATTTTTAGAAGTTAATAGTTTGATTCTTAAATTAAAATTATCTAAAGGAATCCCATAGATGCCTGATAGAAATAATTAGCAATATATTTCCATTTGGAATACACCTTCACTTTGTAGCCTGTGCCAATCCAGTTACTGTGGTTTGGAGTGATCCTGTGAATTAAGTACATCACTGGTAAAACCCAGTTGCCTGCAGGCCTTCATAGCTTAAGGCAAACCTGTTTTGAAATGTATTAAAAGGATATTTTACCCTGGAAATCTAATTCAGTTGTAAGAGCTTGGTGTTTGTAGATATTATAGTTTGTTAAAAGAGAAGATTTTGTTCAGATGTGCAATAACTTGTTTTATTTGTTTGCTTTCAGATGATATTTCTTATTCTTTGGTTTTGACAGGACCACCACCTCCACTTCCTCCTTTGCAGCCATCTGGCATGGATGCTCCCCCAAACTCTGCAACCAGTTCTGTTCCTACTGTAGTAACAACTGGCATTCATCACCAGCCTCCTCCTGCTCCACCCTCTCTTTTTACTGCAGGTGCAATTTTGGCCCTTTTTGTATTCATAATGTAGTTTTAGATGAAGAATTTTAAAATGTCTAGAGAGAATTGCTCTGAAGACTACTTTCCTCACTAAAATTGTATAGGCATGGTGAATGTACATTAAATAACCCTCAATTCTGAATGTTTTCACAAACATTTTCTTTTTAATAACTTTTAAAAATAAAGTTTATTTTCTTTTTTGATACATATAAAGCATGTTATATATTAACAATATGTTATACTGTTTACTTTTTCTCTTATCAATATTAAAAAATTACCAAGTGGAGTTTTATAATTGTTTTTTAATTACAGTTTTTGTATTACCAGATACGTATGACACAGATGGCTACAATCCTGAAGCCCCAAGCATAACAAACACTTCCAGACCTATGTATAGACACAGAGTGCATGCACAAAGGCCCAACTTGATAGGACTAACATCAGGGGATATGGATTTGCCACCCAGAGGTACTATAATGAATCCTTCCTTCCTGTCATTTTGTAATATAAACAGTGGGAAAACATTTATAAAAAACAGTTGGTCTTGTCTTTATTGGGGTTGGATAATGAATGATGCTTTATTTTTTAGTTTTTTAGTTTATTTATTTTTGAGATAGTGTCTTGCTCTGTGGCCCAGGCTGGCATGTAGTGGCATGATCTCAGCTCACTATAACTTCTGCTTGCCAGTTCAAGTGATTCTCCTGCTTCAACCTCCTAAGTAACCTGGGATCACAGGCGCATGCTACCAGGCTCTGCTAATTTTTGTATTTTTAGAAGAGATGGGATTTCACCATATTGGCCAGGCTTGTCTTGAACTCCAGACCTCAAGTAATCTGCCCGCCTCAGCCTCCCAAGGTGCTGGGAGTATAGGCTGAGCCACCACACTCTGCTGGGATTGTGATTTTGTTTGTTCCCTATGCCCTTCATTCCCATTAGAGAAAATATATTGTGTAATTCTGTATTTGTGGTAGAGGTGACACTTTATTATACAATAATCATACAACCTAAGAGCGAAAGGAATTTCTTAAGTACGTTTTCTTGAGTAGCCTTTGTGTATGTGTGGTAATTCGTATCTTTTGTAGTCTTAATTGTTTCATTTAAACTCTTGAGAGTAACGCTTTAATTCATAAAGATAAGTTTATTCCTAGTTTGGAAAATCATGTGTAAAAATTGTGCTTGGTATGTATTTTATTTTTGCTGACTTTTGACATGTTAAAATTTGCTATTAGTTTGCTTATAATATTTTTATGCAAAGGATATTATGTGTTAGGGAATGAGTCATCTTTTAAAATTTTCTTAGAGGAGACAGACTTGGGTAAAATTTCTAAAAGGTACTGTTTGGGCTGACATAGTCACAAGCTAGGGCCGCAGAACCGCTACACTTCAAGTGTAAATGTAAACTAGTAAGATTCAGAGGAAGACAGTTCACATTAATTTGGAAAATACAGTTTTGTTACAGATGACATTCGATATAGGGAAATAAAGGATTGTCAGACATAATAGAAAATATTTCCTGGGCTAATAAGAATGTATCTTTTTCCCTAACTACCTCAATTAAGTTTTAAATTCCATTTTCTTTGCAGTCTTTCCTTATTGTCTTACCTAATTGAATTAAAAATCATGCTTCTCGAGCAAAAGTCTTAGTTAAGTAAGTAACAGTGCTTAATGGGGTCTGGTAAACATGTGATTACTTACATAAACTTTGTGTTTTTTCTTTTGTTCACTGGAAGCTATCAGATTCAGAGCATCTTCCTTGAATGTATAAGGACTTTTTGTAATGGAGATGTAAAGAACATTCTAATTCAGATTTATATCCTCTTTGAGATCATAGGACAACATTTAATGTGGATGCCCATTTCTTTTAAATTCTCTTTGATGAATTTCAATAACTATTAGCAACAGAAAAAGATTTTTTAAATAGTTTCTATGTGAGGGATATACAGATTTCTTGCCATTGAAAAGTAGCCACTTAAGATTCTAAGTGTTACTGGCCGGGCGCGGTGGCTCAAGCCTGTAATCCCAGCACTTTGGGAGGCCGAGGCGGGTGGATCACGAGGTCGGCAGATCGAGACCAACCTGGTCAACATGGTGAAACCCCGTCTCTACTTAAAATTACAAAAAAAAAATTAGTTGGGCACAGTGGCGTGTGCCTGTAATCCCAGCTACTCAGGAGGCTGAGGCAGGAGAATTGCCTGAACCCAGGGGGCGGAGGTTGCGGTGAGCCGAGATCGCGCCATTGCACTCCAGCCTGGGTAACAAGAGCGAAACTCTGTCTCAAAAAAAAAAAAGATTCTAAGTGTTGTGTGATACTTACCCATACCCAGAACCTGCCACCCACCTGGCTAGTTTACAGAAACTCTCTTTTCTTCTCTGGATAACGATTTAGCATGTAGTTTGTTTTCCTCTTACCAGTACTCCTTGCTTTTACTGTGAACCTTTTAATGGGAATTTCCACTTCAGTTAACCTTTTACTGGAATTTCCCACTAAAGTCATCTCTTTCTACTTTGCTGCTTAGGAATGCTATAAATATATGCTACTACAAATCAATATTAATTTGATCCATTCACATGTCAGTTTCTGGTTGTGATTAAGAGATGCAAGGGGATCAAACTCCTTGCATATTAATCTTACCATGTACAAGTTGTATCGTGGTCATTTCAGCCCTTAATGCATATAGTCATAAGTTACAGGAAGTGGCCCTGTTGAGAGATAATGTCTGGCATACCTACTTAGAAATTTAAGTGCATTTTCTCATAGAATCATTTTTATATGTAGTGATTATTTTAGTATTCTTCATAAGATACATCATGTACTATTTTTTTTGAGCTGGTTCAGGATTGATTTCTCCATTAATGACAGTGATTTTATGTACGAACAACTGATATAGCAACCCATCTAACTTGAGGATTGCCTATAGTACTCTATTTTCTTATCTGGTTTTTAGTCCTCTCTCTCTTCCCCTCATATATTCTTGTCTGTTTGCTGTTTGGATTTTAAATTTACTGTCCTGGATTATGACAGATACATAAAAAGCTTATAATGTTAATTATATAATTATTACATGTTCCTAATGGCCTATGGATGTCCTTAATTTAAATTTGTTGTAAACTTACTATGTGACAGTTAAACTTTTAAGCTTACTGCTTTAAATCTTGAGGGGAATTATCATTCAGCAACAGGAAAAAGTTTTAGGCCCTTTGATGCATTTAAATTACTAATGTAAAAGTGACCTAGAGACCCTGACAGTTATTCTTTGCAGAGTTCTAAGGAATTGGAAAACTTGATAGATGATTTCATGATTGGATATAGGCAGGAGGAATGATTAATTAGTTTTCCATTTCTAATCAAGAAAACCAGTGCTGACAATTTTAGGCACAACAATTTTAAAAGGATATTGGGGGAAAGCATTACGTAAAACTATTTAGTATTATACCATTTGCTGAGTATATACCAAGAGGAACTTGCTTCTGTGTTTTTAATCCCCTTCTTTTTTAAATATCCATGAAAAGGATTCTGAATGAGAGAATAAAGATGAGATGGAGTAAACCTATCTCAATCACTAGAGATGGGTTATTCCCTCCCTTAGTGAACCTTCGGGTACAGAACATATTAAAGTAGAAAACAAAAGATGTTGGATAGCACACAGATTCTTCAAAAGGGCCAGTAAACCAGGCTTGAGAGGCAGGAATAAAACTAAAAATTTTTTTGCAGAACTGGTTCTGTGAAGATACCACCAGACAGAGAAACGGCAACTTGCGCTGTGAACATCACAGGTGCTAGATACAGGATGTTTCCACCCTATCTGCTTTAGAGATGTAGGATAAGTCAGAGTTAGAGGAAGAGAGTATATAAAGCCTATGTCCCCTGTGGTACTTTTGAGAAACTGAAGGAATTTTGGGACTAGAATAGAAGAAGTAAGGAATGTGAAGGGAGGTAAGAGGCTAATTAAAAGCATTTATAGAATTTTAGAATAGAGGTGTTAGTAGCTGGACTAGTGTAATAAGTGAGAAGTGAAAAAAATTAAATTTAGTGGAAAGAATTGACAAAACTTATAATTTACTGAATTTGGAGGCTTAGAATGGGGTAATAAAGAGGATGAAATTTGACACCCAGTTTCTGCCCTTAATAATTGGGCAAATGATAATGTCCTTCACTGAGAAGAACAGCTTTGACAGAAAGATAAATTTAGTTTTGAAAATATTTAACTTCTTGTGCTCCTGGGACATCTGAGTAGAAATGTCCAGTGAAAGATTGGATGTGGAAGTCTGAGGTCCATGAGAGACAACTATCTATATATAGAGTTTGGAATCATGCCTATATACAACATTGGTCCTTAATCTTCTCTTCTGTCCTATTAGTACTAGTTGGAGGTAAATGGACATAGAGCCATATCAAAATCTGTAGGTCTGACCTACATAGGTTTAAAAGCCTTTCTTCTGTGTTTTGAAAATCTTCCTTTCCCCATCTCCACTGAGAATTACTGAAAAAGATCAATGAAGCCATGGCATTAGATAGGAAAGATGTTTGAGGAAGGCTATGTAAAGCGAGATGAGAAAACCCAAGTATAACTACTTGGCGAATGTCAGTGTCAAAGTAAGTCGACGGAGAAAGGGGAACTTTATGGAAAATTTAGAAGTGACGTCAAAAAGCTGCAGAAAAACGCAGGCAGTGGGGATTCCTAAAAACTCTAGGAATATAATATTTAAGAAGGAAAAGAAAATGATCAGCAGCAGGAAATGCTCCTCAGAGGTCCAGTAAGAGGACTGGGATGTATTCATAGGCTTAAGCAACAAGTGAGGACATGAGTGAGTGATTTTAGCTTAACCAAGTAAAGTGCAGTGATGGTAGTAACTGCCAGTTTTCAGAGAATTAGTGAGTGTTAAGGAAGCGACGTTAGCAAGTGTGGATGTTGCTTAGGAAAGGGCTGTGTAGGTAAGGAGAGAGAAGATGTTGTTGCTAATGGGAAAAGTGGTTTTATGAGCTGTTCTGTTTAAATGTTGATGGGCGATACCAGTGTTGTGCGAAAGGTTGAAGATGGAGGAAAGCACCAGGAGTCAGGGCATTGATTTGAGTCTCTGTATGTATGGCATATGTAGAGTCCTACATCAAATGTGATGTGATTTGACTGGGATGATTGGGAAAATGGTAGTTTCATTGATAGAAATGTTTAAGAAAGATAAAAGGTATACTTAATATGAAGATAATTTGAATGTTCTGCCTATTGAGTTTTGGGATACTTGTAGGATTTCCAGAGACGACCAAGAAGTTGGAAATTTAGAATCGAGCATATGCTTTCCTCCTGCAGGAGGCCATAGTTGTAGCCATGAGAGAGATTGTGCTGAAACGGATCCTCAGATCTTTTGGTTAGTTATGTGTTTAGAAATATGTAAGAATAAGATTTTAGACAATCAATTCTGCCAACTATAAAATAATTTTTAAGTTACATTTTCCGATGTGGATTAAGGTTTCCATGTTTAAAACTTTGGAGTTATTTGGGAATAACATGTTAAATGTACTGTGCTCATTCCATGCCATCTAAGTAAATATAAAATGTTGAAAGTAACAGACATTTTACAGCTCTTTTACACTATATTTTAGACTTGAATCTTTTCCTTTTTAAAGCAAGTATGCTTTCATTACATTCATATTTTATGAATCTATTACGTATTTTAAAAGCAGCTCACGTCAGTTAAGGGTAGATGGGAACAGACTTGGATTTTATCTATAAAGGAGTGGCCTACAGAATTGAATTTTAATTTGGCATGTGAGAATTGATTCTTTTTCACAGTTAGGTGTGAAATGAATATATTGAAACAGGTTTTACAAAACCCTTAGATTGCCGTATTTGAATATGCAATAATTCCCTCTTTGTGGGTGATACATTCCAAGACTCCTCGTATGCAAAACCACGGAGTACCAAACCCTACATACACTATGCTTTTTCCTATACAGAATACTTGTGATAAGGTTTAGCTTATAAATTAGACACACTAAGAGATTAACAACAATATCTAATAATAAAATGAAACAGTTACAGCAGTATAATAAAAATTATGTGAATGGTTTCTGTCTTTCTCTGTCAGAATTTCTTATTGTATTGTAATTACCCTTCTTGGGATGATAGGAGATGATACAATGCCTAATTGATGAGAGCAAGTGATGGAGCAAAATGGCATAAACGGCAGGCAGTTTAAAACTTAGGAATTGTTTATTTCTGTAGTTTTTTATAGTTTTGGACTGTGTTTGACTAGACATAACAAATAGTAAAAGTGAAACTCTGGATAAGGGGGAGCTACTATACATTTATTTCTATTTCTTCTAAAATATGTATGTATTTAGATAAAAGCCAGAAATTTTTCTGTATGAAGTTAAGAAAGTAGCTGTGATAAATAGAAAATATTAACATATGCTTCTTGTTTTCATTTTATTTTGTTTTAAAACAGAAAAGCCTCCTAATAAAAGCAGTATGAGGATAGTAGTGGACTCAGAATCAAGGAAAAGAACCATTGGTTCTGGAGAGCCTGGAGTTCCTACAAAGAAGACTTGGTTTGATAAGTAAGGTGGCCGGGAAAACTGAGGAGTGTAATTGTGCACTGATTTTTAGGATCATTTCTGTATTATTATGAAAATATAGTTTGGTTTCTTTCAAAAATGTTATTCTGTTCTATAAGCAAGCCCCAAGTGTGGGTTGTTTTCTGAAAATTCGTTAAGTTAGTTGTCTGATGTGAGAAAAGCATTTTCTTATAGAAATGATGTGGTAGTTGAGGGCATAATTTTTTCCTCTTTTCATTTACCCTTCTTCAAAAAACCGACTCTTTAACTTAGATCTGTTAAATACTGGCTATATGCAGGATAGTCATGAACCTCTCATTGTTAGAGAAAGGAGGTATAGATCAGACCTGTCAAGAGACTTTCATATTTAGGCAGTTCCTGTTAGTAGTTAGAAAGGGCTTTTAGGGGATTTGGGGAGGCTGGATAGGGATTGAATGGTCAAGGAATGGCTTCAAAGAAAGAGCTAAGGAGTCAGAATTTTAAGGTATGTCTGAGATGATTAATTTATAAATAAATATGTGAAGAAAGACTGGAATCACTTTTAGAGCTTTAACATCTACTTAATAATGGATAGTTTCTAGCTTTTTGCGATTCTGTGATTTAATGCAGTGTATTCTCTCTAGGCTGCAGTTTTGTCCTTTTTTCAAGTGTCAAAATGTATTCTCTATAGTTCCAACAATTGTCTTTTTTAAAAAACAAAAAGTAAAGAAGTTGAGAGTGTCATGAAAAAACAATTTTAAATCAAATTCAAAACTTAAAGTTTTAAGATATGACATTTTTCAGTAAGCTGACTTTTACAGAAACAGAATAAAGGTTATATATGCAAATTGACTAAGAGAGGATACTGAGACTTTTCCTCATAAAACTGTTGAGTAGGAGTGGATTAGAAGTGGAAAGTAACAAATGAGATGGCAGATCCCTTCTCAGTTAGCTTCCATGAAAAGTGCTAACAGTGTTAATTTGGAAACTTCATTGTTGGAAGAAAATTTTCTTTATCAACCAATGATTTCCATTTGGGGTGCAAATTGAGCTTAATTGGACATCTGTTTTGCATGTTAAATTTTATTCCCTTGTATTTGGTCAGGGTCAGGATTTATAAATGAATTGACTAACTTGAATTTTGTTTACAGACCAAATTTTAATAGAACAAACAGCCCAGGCTTTCAGAAGAAGGTTCAATTTGGAAATGAAAATACCAAACTTGAACTTAGAAAAGTTCCTCCAGAATTAAATAATATCAGCAAACTTAATGAACATTTTAGTCGATTTGGAACCTTGGTTAACTTACAGGTAAGACTGTGAAATGATTTTGTTATCTCTGCTTATTGTTTAGGGAACTTAATGTAACAAGAAAATTACCTTTATTAAGAAATATAAGGCTGAGCGTGGTGGCTCATGCCTGTTATTCCAGCACTTTGGGAGGCTGAGGTAGGCAGATCACTTGAGTTCAAGAGTTCAAGACCAGCCTGGCCAACATGGTAAAATGCTGTCTCTACTAAAAATATGAAAATTAGCCAGGTGTGGTAGCAGACACCTGTAATTTCAGTTACTTGGGAGGCTGAGGCAGGAGAATCTCTTCAACCTAGGAGGCGGAGGTTGCAGTGAGCCGAGATTGTGCCCTGCACTCCAGCCTGGGTGACAAGAGCAAAACTCTGTCTCAAAAAAAAAAAATTAATTAATTTAAAAAAATACATTATAGAAAATTTGTTATTCTAAATTGGGAAAATTGGACATGAAATGGAACTTTACCTTTTAGAAAAAATATGACTTTCAGTGTTTCAGTTATCATATTATCATATACTTTTTACCTAATAAAGGTTGTCGTAAAACTACAGCAAAGTTAATCATACTGGTAAAATTCAATCTTACAGTAGTTCTCAGTTTCTCAGTTTCTCAAAATCATTTCAGTAGCAATTTTAGTCAGATTTATTTTTGTCACCTCTGTGATGGCATGCACTTAATAGAGACTTTTGGAGCCCAGATACCTTGTAATCTGTGATTAGTTTAAACATTTACTTTTTCTTTACCACTTTGAATATCCTTCAAGATGAGGAACACTAATTTGTATTTGATTGCACCTAAAATTAGACCTTGACTTGGCTATATAACTTGTGTTTTTTTTAGTATTGAGTTTGTATTGTGTGAAATGTTGAAAGTGTTGAAATAGGATGTTGAATTTTCCCCCCATTTTGTATGGTGTTCTTTTGTAATTAACATAGTTAATGTTTTATAATTCAATAAAAACCAATAAATTTTAGAGGATACAACTCATCCTAAGTTGATATTTTGGAAAATTTTGTTTTCTTCCCATTAAAATGTACTATAAATGTAATAGAGGAGAAAAAATTCTTGTTTGATTGAGGTAGGGCAATAGAGATGCATACATAAAAATTAAAGGAAATGATTCCCTTTCGGCATTGTTTCATTCTCCTGCCCATTTGTAATTACATTATTGTTAACAGTTTTACCATGTGGTATTTTAGATTTTTTGTTTTACAATTCTGTGTCTGTTTATCTGTACACAAACTTAAAACTGTGAGCTCATAATATACACATTTTCCTATGGTTATTTGCTTGATCTTGAATGTCTTTGAGTATCTTTTTATGGCAATTTTATTTGATCTCCCACTATATGTAGTCATAAAAAGGTTTTCAAAATATTCTTTACACAATTATCTTTACTGATAATATTTAAAAATTTTTTTAGGCTGGGCGTGGTGGCTCATGCCTGTAATCCCAGCACTTTGGGAGGCTGAGGCGGGTAGATCACAAGGTCAAGATACCGAGACCATCCTGGCCAACATGGTGAAACCCCATCTCTAGTAAAAATACAAAAATTAGCTGGGCATGGTGGTGCATGTCTGTAGTCCTAGCTACTCATGAGGCTGAGGTAGGAGAATCACTTGAACCTGGATGGTGGAGGTTGTAGCGAGCTGAGATTGTGCCACTGCACTCCAGCCTGGTGACAATGAGACTTGGTCTCAAAAAAAGTAAAATAAAAAAAATTTTAAAGCTGAGGGACAAAACATGATATCTCACTATTGTTTCTATTTGCATTTACTCGATTACTAGTGAGGTTGAAATCTTTTGTTGATTGGTTCTTTTACCATGTCTGTGTACTACCTGCATTATTATTTTTAAAACATGTTTTTTAAAATCAATTTTTAAAACCCTATAGCTTCATACCAATTAAATACATTGATGAAATTGATGTTTATAAAGTCTGAAAAAAACGTATAATTATTAAAATGTTACCAAAAGTTATCTTTACAGTTATCATTAATATGTATTGAATACTTCTGAGTGTACACTCTCTGTTCTACATGAATTATTATTTAAGTTTTAAACTAACACTAAAGAGTAGGTATGCTTATTCTCATTTGTAGAAAAGCAAAACAAGGCCCAGAAAGGTTAAGTAACTTTGTCATGTTCATGTGAGAGTAGCAGCCCAGAGTTTGACCCAGGCAGTTTGATTTCAGCTACACTTTTGTTTTGTATTTTGGTATTTGTTTTTTGAGACAGAGTTTCACTCTGTCACTGAGACTGGAGTGAGGTGGCATGATTGCAGCTCCCAGTAGCCTTGACCTCCTGGGCTTATGTGATCCTCCTACATCAGCCTCCGAAGTAGCTGGGACCACAGATGTATGCCACTGCACCCAGCTACTATTTTTTCAATTATTATTTGTACAAATGGGGTCTCAATATGTTGCCCAGGCTGGTCTCAAACTCCTAGGCTCAAGCAATCCTCCTGCCTTGGTCTCCCCAAGTGCTGGGATTACCGACATGAGCCACCATGCCTAGCCCAGGCTACTCTTAATCTCTGTTCTGTATTGCTGCACACCACCAGTGGTTTATATATCACACTTTGGAAAAATCTTATTATTGAAAGAATAGAAAATTTGAAATGAGAAGTCTTGGATTTATTACTTATTAGCCTATAGAATCACATTCCTTGAAATCTCAGTTTTCTCATGTATCAAATGTGAGTCATGTGTTATGTGGTCTCTTTTTTTCTTCTTAAATTTTCTTGTGCTTTTATAAATATTGTTGTGCAAATTACAAATTTGGGCAGTTGTTCAGATGGATTTTTCTGTAATTTCTTGTTAGAGATAAACCCTTGCAGAGTAGTTTACTGCCTTCTCCAGACTCTCTGGATTCATGTCATTTATTGACAATAGGGATTGTTTCTCATAGTCACTATTAAAATCGGGGATAAAAAGAAAAACACCTTTCAATGCCTATATATAACATTTATGCAGTCAGCTTTCTCTACTAGTATATAGAGGAACTCTTTTTATACTGTGAACAATTTTTGGTTACTATTTCTTCTGGAGTAAAAGTAGACTATGGTCTACTATTCTAGATGCAAGGAAGTATAAATATAGACTCCTACTTGGAAGGACCAGGATTTCACTTCTTGAGGAATTTTACTCTATGAAGCAACAGATTCCTTTGGAAATTCATTGTTGTTAATATTTTAAATCTTAGGTTGCTTATAATGGTGATCCTGAAGGTGCCCTTATCCAATTTGCAACATACGAAGAAGCAAAGAAAGCAATATCAAGTACAGAAGCAGTATTAAACAATCGCTTTATTAAGGTTTATTGGCACAGAGAAGGAAGCACTCAACAGTTACAAACTACTGCTTCAAAGGTAAGAGAGAAATTTGTGTGAAAGTAAGTGCATTTCTTAGCTCTTAGCAGAGTGTTTACAAGTAGAGGCATTGGAATCAGGTAGGCCTGGGTTCAGATCTTGATTTTGGATTTAGCTTCCGTTACCTGTATTGACTTGAAAAAGTTACTCAACCTATCTAACCTGTTCTCTCCTTTAATTGTGATGGCCATTGCTAGTTGAGAGAATTGCAGCATAATGTGTATAAAGCATATACAATAGTCCCTGAAATATAGGAGGTACTCAGTAAATGATAGCTATATATTTTTCTAAATTTTAGAGTATAGGTTCATCTTAGAAGTTCTTTCTTCATTTCCTTTTCCTCTTTCTTCTCGCTTTCTGTCCCAACCCCCAGCAGTGAATCAATCAGTATGTCATATGTCATGTTAGAGCATTTATAGAGGTGTGTTATAGTAATTTGGATTTTGATTGTTAAAACAGAAGATAGTGAAAGGTGGACTTTAATTTTTTCCAGCAAATAAGTTACTTTATGCGAAGAAAACATTTTTATGTGTGCGAATGAAATTGGAAGGCAGTTAGTTAGATTTTGACTATAAGCTGCATTTTAAAAACTTCTCTGTATGGGCAATTTAGTAACAAAATGACACAGGTTACTTTCCATCCTATTGAACGAATCAAATTGTTTAACATTTTTTTCTTGTTCTGAGGTAATGCAGCCTTTAGTCCAGCAGCCTATTTTGCCTGTTGTGAAGCAGTCAGTCAAAGAGCGACTGGGTCCAGTACCTTCAAGTACTATTGAACCTGCAGAAGCCCAGAGTGCCACTTCAGACCTTCCTCAGGTAAAGCGAAGGTCTTATGATTGTGCTTGTCACATAATAAGTTTTCTGTAATTTAGTTTCTCTTGGTGATTTCAATTACAGTTAATTGTATATATTTTACATAGGAATATGACAATCTTTACATATTTGAGCCCCACCTATAAGTTTTAAAAAAATTTTTTACCATTACCGTAACATTTTCTCAGTCACTACTTTTCCTATAGTATTTGAATCTTAAATTTTTCTCTCCAGTTAATATTTATGAGAAAGATTTATTTCTCACTTTGTGGAGGAGATACATTTCAGCATGGAGGGTGCAGTTGAGTACATTAAATCTTATTTTTTTCATCATCTTTTTACTTAATTAGAATTCTGTTCTGGAGATAATTGTGTAGTAGACTGAACTAAAAGCTTATGGGAAGGGAAGGCTTAAACCATCAAGTTAAGCATGCTTAATATTATACTGTTTAAAGTATTTAGACCACTCTCTCAGAACTTGGCATCACTTATTCCTGACTCTGGGATTCTTTTCTCCATATATCACCTTCCCACTTCCTTCCACACTTGAGTGGCAGTTTCTTTTTTCTATATTCTTAGTCTCTGAAACTAAGCTTTCCTTTGTCTCCCGATGTTTCAGCATTTGCTATGTAAAATAGTTAGGATGTAGTATCCTACTTAGCTAATGGATGCCACCTTATTAAAGTAGTCTTCTTCAATAATTCCTGAACAGTAAGATGTTGAATTTCTGCAAGGACATGCAGAATGTCAATTGATAAATTATTAGTTATCTAAAAAATTTCCACTCCTGACATCCCAAATTATCACCAAATACAGTATATTTGGATATAAAATAAATATATTTTAGAAGAAGTTGACACTATTTTTAAGCTCAATAAGTGGGCATATATTTTAATCTCTAAAACTTGAGATGTTCTACTAATTTATTGTATGTCAGTGGCAGGGACTTTGGCAACCACCTTGCTCAGACCTCTTAGTTTACATCATTTTTCATGATTGAGTAATATTACATACTGTTTATTTTTGTTTTCCCACGTACTTTCTTTCTGTCTCTTTCTTTTAAGAAGGACCAAGTTTTTGTGGTTAGTATTGGTATACTCATAGACTCTGTATATATTAGTAGAATCAGAATGTTCAAGATCCCAACAGACTTTTGTATATTTGGGGAAACACTGAATATGTCCATTTTAATTTTTTTAGAATGTAACTAAGTTATCTGTGAAGGACAGGTTGGGTTTTGTATCAAAGCCATCTGTTTCAGCAACTGAAAAGGTAAGAATAGCATGATGTGTTTGTCTTGGCTTCATAAATGTTTTCAGGTGGCATCTTAATTTTTAATTTTTTTCATAGTTCTAAACTCTTGCTTCTTAATAGTATCTGTATCTTTTCCTACCTTTTGGCTTTCCATTTGCTGAAAAAGAAAAATCTTTTTCTTTTTTTACTTTTGCATCAGCATTTTAATACTTGCCTCCCACTATATTTCCATGTACTCCATTCCTTTTCTTTGTTTTATTCTTTCTATTTACTTTGTTTTCCTTAGAGATACTGTGCATTTTGATTTGACAACTCTGGCAGCCTAATAGAAAGGGCCATGATTAGGAATTTTACCTGAGTTTGAGCCCTTCACTTACTAACTGCATGATGTTGGGCAGTGTTCTGAACTTTTCTGAATCTTTCTACTCATCGGTAAAATGGTGATAGTAATATTTGTCTTGCTCATAGGGTTTTCTGAGGATTAAATGAAATCATTTATTTAAAAATATTTTTGTAAACTGGAAAGGATGATGTAAATTTAAGTTTTTAACATATTACTAAACAGTTACTCATGTGGCATAACAATACATTTAGTCATTTCTTTTTTTAAAATGAAGGGGGGCAAATATTGATTGAATCAAGACCATTTATGGATATATCTTATAGTTCTGTGTAGATGTAATTTTTTTTTCTGTTTAGGTGTGAGTAAATGCTCTGTCTTTAATCTTATTGGAAGCATATGAAATCACAGAATGTGATAATTAAATAATCTTTCTTAGTTCCATATCCTTGTCTTAAAGTCAAGGCCCAAACAGTGTTATGGTTTTATCTATGTACTGTGAGTTACTGAACCAGAATGAGAATTTGGGCCTACTGTTTCTAGTCCAGAGGCTCTTTGCAGTCTGAAGATTGGAAATCGATTTCAGAGATGAACAATGCATCCAGTGAGATAGGTGACCTGCTGTCTTATATTCTTCAGTATATTATTTTCTTTATTTACAGTATTAAGCTTTGGCAGTTATAGACATTTGAATCTGAGTTTGTGTATCAGATTTTCCTCTTGGGCATCTCAGCATTACTTTAGGCATAATATGTCTAAAATTAATTCATTGTTTCCCATATAAATTAACCTAGCCCTTAGCTCAGAAAGGATACCATCATTTTCTAAGCTGTGTGATCTAAAAGCCTTACAGTCATTTACTTGTTTTTGTAGACCACATCTTTTTCTGCCACCTTCAGTTTCCTAGTCTCTGGGTGCAGTGTCTTAACTGTCATCCTGGAATTTTCCCCCTCTAGTTTACACTGTCACCATCCTACACTCAGACTTATTTTGGTGTTAATTCATTATAGAAACTTGGAGTTTCTCAGCTAAATTACTTTCCTTGATTCACAGCTCATCAATAATTCAATAATTCTGATTCTATTACTTCTGCTCTAGTCTTTACTTTCTACCCAAGGGAGTGCTTTTCTGCTCATTGTCTTTTGGTCTTTCCTGACTTTTGTTATTTTATTTTTTGGTGGTGATTTTTCTGGAGTGCATTTTCCCCTCCCTAACTAAATTCTAGTCATTCTTTAAAGAGTGAAAGACTCTTTAACATCTCCAGTGAAACTTCCACATTTTTCTATTGTTCCCCCCTCTCCTTGGAATTTCTGTGTTGCTTAGTCTGTGCTATTAAATTTAGCCGTATCAGATACTTACTTTGATTAGGTTTATCCTCGAAAATAAGCATTTCAGAATGAAAGAAATACTGGAAGTGTTTGAGGTGATAGATATGCCAATTATCCTGATTTGATCATTATACAATGTATACATGTATCAAAACATCACACTATACCCCTTAAATCTGTACAGTTCTGTCCATTAAAAGTAAAATAAAATTTAACGCTAAGTTCAGCTATACTTAGTGTACTACTGAGCAATTCTGGAGACATCTAAAATATTCAGTTATATTTGGAGTCTTTGTAATGTCAAGATTTGGACTTTTGAAAATCAGGTGTCTACTCATAGCTTTTATAAAATTTTTTCAATGTATTGTGAGCACAAATTTGTAGTAGATAGTATAACTTTACTAATGCATAACCTAATATTATACATACATACATGTATACACACACACACACACACACACACACACACACTCACCCCTATATACCTATATATTATGCTAATGTAAGAAACCACTAACTGAATTTTTATGGGAAAAAAATCATTTATGGTAGCAAGCTATTTATGGGGAAAAATATTCTTGATAAATATCATAAAGGATCTCTTAAGGAAAACAATGGTATGTAACTTTTAGTCATCTTCGGTGAGTGCCTGAGAAGCATTTTATTTTTGCTTGTTTTTATTGTTTCTGTTTCCCTAATCCTTAGGGGGGTTTTGTCCGAAAAGTTACAGGGCAATGATCAAAGAAGTCTTAGAATAGAAGAATGTTCCCCATCATCAAATATTATTTGAAAGATTCTGTTTTTAAAATAAATGAAGGCAGAAGAAAACCCAAAGCTTGTATCTACATAATATTCTATGTCATTGTTAAATAAATACACAAATGTAACATTTTATATCTTCCTTATCTACAACACACAGTGAAACCTTTAGTGATTATTCTTTATTCTGAGACCCCATTTTCATGAGAGGGCTGGAAGAGAGGAAAGTTAAAACATAATTCCAGATGGTAAATATTAAGACATTACAATAGGTATTAATTAAGTAGTTACTATTTGAATAGATTTGATAATAAAATTATGTTTGAGTACCTCTGCTTACTTAAGAGATTCATGAAGAATAAAAGGTGACATCTGTGTATACTCTTCTTGTTAGTTTTTTAAAACAGACTTGAGACTGTCAAATTATCTTGCTAAATTCCTACTAAATTCTAAGGTGAACTGAATAACCAATGGAATATTTAATCTTTATCATATCAACTTTAGATATCAAATTTATGATACAGGATATTATTGTTCTTTACTCATTCTTTTTGCAATGTAAAAATATATCTTGGTTTCTTTGCATGATATATTAACATATATACCATGGAACTTTTAAAAGGAAAATTGTGTCATATAATTAAAAGAATATTGTGTGTCACAGAGAAACTTCAGCTGTTGATTTAGCAGCTGCCATTGTGTAGTGCTAAGCATATCTTACTGTGTTTCCTTTGATTTTTGAGATTAGGATTTGTCATGTAATTTTGTTATTTTAAAGATTAGAGGGATTTTTGATAGTTTTCTTAACTGTTAACTTGTTTTAATTTTTAATGCATTGACCTCTGTCAGGGTTATTACCTGGATTATTTTTTTACAAGAAAATGTGAAATTAATTTATCTTAGTGTATTAGCTTTGTTGAACTTTCTAGTAACTAAGCTATTTGTGTAGCAAAAACTCGTGACTAACATATTTTTTACTTTGATGTTTGTTACATGTTTCTCTGCAAGATTTTTAATCTTTCTTTTAATCCTTTTCTCTATTCCACTTATATGTGGAATCTTACAAAGTTGAACTCATAAAAGCAGAGTGTAGAATGGTGGTTACGAGAGGCCAAGGGCTGGGGATTGTGAAATGTTGGTCAAAAGATAAAAAACTTCAGTTAGATAGGAGAAATAAAGAGATCTATAGTACAGCATGGTGACTATAGATAGTAACAATGTGTTGGCATACTTGAGATTTGCCACGGAAGTAAATTTTAAGAGTTCTCACAACACAAAAAAGTGAGTTAATACACATATTAATTAGCTTGACTTAGCAATTTTACAGTCTATATATTTTAAACAATGTTGTACATGATAAATATAGTCTTCAACATATAGTTATTTGTCTAATGATTTTTCAATTTGATGTTTATTGTAAGTTGAAAATATATTTTCAATTTTAATGATATTTCAACTTACAATGGATGTAGGCCCTCATATGATAAGGAACATCTCTAAACAGTTTTTGTCAATTAAAAGCATAACATTTTTTAAATTACAAAAAAAGATAAGATAGATCAGTGCGTTAAAAATACTTTGTATTCTTGGAATTTAAAAACTATTAATATCTAAAAGTATGTATAAATTTAACTTTAAACCAAAATTCTATTTTTCTCGTCAGAATTCTCAATTAGGTTTCATACAGAATGCACATCTATGTGTAAGTGAATATCATAAATGAACATTCAGATTTACTGAACAGGTGATTATTTACTTACTATGAAAACTGACCATACACTAACTGTATTAATATGCTTTCTACATGTAACTCCTCAGATATTATCTTTTTATTGCTTTAAACCAAGGTATTTCTGCTTAAAAAACATGTTGGAGCTACTTACTGTGAGTGTGGCTGTTAAACATCAATCATAACTGTATTTGTATTTAATTTCTACTTGGCATTGGTTATTTGAAAATGATACTTGATAACTTAATCTTACAAAATACTTTTTTCCTCCCATTCTTATCTGTGAAGAAGTGCTTTTCTCCTTCTTTACAAGTACTAGTAGTTATGCCTGGTAATGTTTTATGTAGGAAATAAAATAAGGAGATGTTAATGGATTTTAACCTCTATCACTGTCTTTTTAGGGAAAATAATTATTAGTGCTATACATTTTAACAACACGGCACAATACTTTTCAACTTAATTTCTGAGTTCAGCACAGCAAACCTGACAAGATACGACAAGAAAGGAAAATTATAGATCAACATCTGTCATAATCATAGACACAAATATCCTAAACAAAATATTAGCGAATGTCCGGTGATACATAAAATACATAATCATGGCCAGGTAGCATTTATTCCTTGCAGAAATGCAAGGTTGATTTACCATTAGAAAAATCAGTTTAATTGACCACTTTAGTAGAATGAGGGAGGAAAAAACCCTAGATGATTACATCAATAGAGAAAGCCTTTGATAAAGTATATTAGTTACATTAAACACTCTGCAAAGGAGTAATAGAGAAAAACTTTTAATTTCATGAAGGAAATCTGTAAAAAAAAGAAAAGAGAAAAAAACTGTTACAGCTAATACAGTATTCAGTTATGAAATATTGACCGCTTTTCCTTGAGATTGGAAAACACAAGGATGTTTGTTTGCATCACTTTTTTTTTCCCCAGTATTGTACTGGAGAGACTCACAGGTGTACTAAGGAAGGAAAATAGAGTAACGATTGGAAATGCAACATAACTGTTACAGATGACGTGGTTGTATATATAGAAAGTATAAAATAATTCATACACAGTTGGAATTAAGTGTAGTAAGATATATAGGAGTAAATATGTAAAAATTATAGCACATATAGAAATGCATTTGGAAAATAGAGATGTAGTTTTTTGGAGAAGTCGCTGTGTTCTTAGGAATTGGAGTATCTTCTTTTCTGTTGGGCTTGTTACTTCCCTCCACTGGTTGCATTTTTAATAGATTTTCGTCTTTTGAAAATACATGTATCTTTTACTATCCAAACTAATCTCTAGAACCAAATAGATTCAAATAGTGAACAATATAGTTACTGTTTATAAAACAGATTTTTACATTTTAACACCTCTGACATTGGGCTGTGTCTTATAATTGTTAGCCACAGGTTATGATTGGAAGCCTTTTTTTTTTTTCTTTAATAGGGGTATATAAGTGATAGCGTGTCTTACAGTAACTGAGTTGTAGGCTTGTGAGTCAAATTCATGGATGTTCCGGTTTTACAGAATGATGTTCTTGGATAAAAAGCAAAATAGGAATGCTTCTAGGAATAAAGGAGTCTTAATAGATACTTTCATTCACTCTGAACCAGCACTCCTTAGTTTTATGCTAGATGTTAAGAATGATTTGAAAAGGAGTATTTTCACTCAAACTGGAGAAATTCTTGGTCAAATAAATTATATGGGTTTGTTCTGGGCTTCTCACTGCTTTTATTATGAAGATAATATAAATTTTAAATAGGAGAAGTGGGTTACAATATTCATTGTTTCCTACTTAAATAATTGGAATTTTTGGGGGTGGGTGGAGATCACAACTTTTCAACTTGTTATGGAACCCTCATGAAGAAAATAATTTGTGAAACTTAAATTAGACTATGTTTTCAGAGGTTTCTCTACTAATAAAGTTACTATCTCATCTTTGTATAGTCATATGGTTTGGCTGTGGTAAGTTAGCATGGAAGAAATTTTTCTCTAGAATTACAAAGAATGGTCACTGAAGTCTCACCACAAACAAAATCTTCGTTTAATTTGTTGAGTGTGGTGGCTCACACCTATAATCCCAAAACTTTGGGAATCCAAGGCAGGAAGATTGCCTGAGCTTAGGAGTTGGAGACTAGCCTGGGGAGCATGGTGAAACCCTGTCTCTACAACAAGATGAAACATTAGCTGGATGTGGTGGTGGGGAACTGAGGTCCCAGCTATTCGGGAGGCTGAGGATCACCTGAGCCCAGGAGGTAGAAGTTACAGTGAGTCAAGATATGTGCCACTGCACTCCAGCCTGGGTGACAGAGTGAGGACCCCCACGCCCCATCTCACAAATAGAATAATTGATAAAGTTTTAATAGACATCAAGTATTGTTAAGAAACTTAATTTTTTTAGTTAATTTTTTTTTTTGAGATGGAGTCTCACTCTATTGCCCAGGCTGGAGTGCAGTGGTGTAATCTCAGCTCACTGCAACCTCCGTCTCTCAGGTTCAAGCAGTTCTCCTGCCTCAGCCTCCCAAGTAGCTGGGATTACAGGCACAAGCCACCATGCCTGGCTAAGTTTTCTATTTTTAGTAGAGATAGGGGTTTCACCATGTTGGTCAGTCTGGTCTCGAACTCCTGACCTTGCGATCTGCCCGCCTTGGCCTCCCGAAGTGGTGGGATTAGAGGCATGAGCCACCGTGGCTGGCCAACCTGTATTTTTAAATGTCAGCCGTAGTGTATGAAACTGGTACAATTATAGTGTTTTAGATTTTTATTTCATTTAGAGGCCAACAACTTCTTGAGTACTTAGAATAGTGATTTGTGATGTTTCCTAATCAAATTTCATAATGAAAGATTAGAAAGTAGTCTTCAGATTGCTACTTGTTATAACCAGATGTTAATGTTTCAGTGGCTAAAAAAATAGGGCTATTTTTCTCATTTATACTTTTAACCTTATTTAGGTTATGAACTCCTGTAACACTTTAGAAGCAATGTTTTTCCTCTGAAAAATTGCAGCGTTCACACACATGCTTTCATGTTTAGTTTTACAGCATTTATAGATCGCCCTGCAAGGATCCCTAGGCTTTTTTTTTTAAAGAACCAGTAGCCAACCAGCCTATGGAACTCAAACTGTTTTGCTTTTGAAGGATATAAAAGGTAGCCAATACTTTGTTGTTTTGAACTGACCCTTTTATAGAAAATGTTGTCTATTCTAATCTTTAATTATTTCAGTTTAGTGTAAAAATGTTTTTTGAGTACTTACCCTGCGCCTGGCACTGTGTATAGCACAGAACCAAGTTACAAAACAAACAGGCCAGGCATGGTGGCTCAGGCCTGTAATCCCAGCACTTTGGGGGCCGAGGTAGGCAGATGACTATCAGGAGTTCTAGAGCAGCCTGACCAACATGGAGAAACAGCATCTTACTAAAAATACAAAAAATAAGCTGGGCGTGGTGGCGTATGTCTGTAATCCCAGCTACTCGGGAGGCTGAGTCAGGAGAATCGCTTAAACTCATGGCAACAGGATCAAAACTTGGTTTCAAAACACACAAAATCTCTGCCCTTTTGGAATGAATTTTTGGGTTTGTAAGGATTTTAGATACAACATCATGTTCATCTTCTTCTTTTATAGATGGTCAAACTGAGGCCCAGGATGATACTTGATCTTACCCATGGTCTCATAATTAGTTGGTGGCAAGACTTAGGTACTGGGAGAAGCACAGAAGAGAAAGGCATAGTCTTTATGTTAATGCCCTTACAATGTAGACAGGGGAAAAGACACATTAATTAATATATCATTACGTCTTTTTTTTTTTTTTTTTTACTAAATAGCTAACATTAACAAAAAATAGTTAATACCATTCTTATCTAATAGCCAAAGGGATAAAATTTCATGTAAGGATCTGGGTAGAAGAGAGAAATGATTCAGGCCTTGTAGAGGTCTTGATTGTATTAGGCTGAACCTGAGCTGGGTTTTGGGGAATAAGGTCAGTTCAAGCAGGAGCTTTGCTACCAAAGGAATGGAGAATGAATGCAAACAGGGTATGTTTCTGAACTGGAAATTGCAAACGATCATGTTAAATTGAGGGACAGCAGCCAGTTTCCTTTTGTGCCATGTTCTTGAGTGTGGTTTTTCTTTAGTCACTACAAATAGTAGTAAATATGTTCAACAATTAATACTTTCTCAGTGATACAGTAGTAGCATTGTTTTTCTTTTTGACATTTTTATATGTTTGTCTTTTTCTCTATTGGTATTTGATGTTAATTTTTTTAAATTTTAGAACTTATTATTCATTTATACTCTACCTTTCAAATCACCAGATATGATTTTGTTATAATTAAAACATACATTTAGTTCAGTGTGTTTTGAAACTGAAGTTTTAAAGTAGTGATTTAAAGTGGAGTCATATAGAAAATAGGGTATCATGAGTGGGTGATACATTGTTTTAAAAGTTGAATTTGTATTGGTAGGTGTTGTCAACATCTACTGGCCTAACAAAAACAGTGTATAATCCAGCTGCTTTGAAGGCTGCACAAAAAACCTTACTTGTTTCCACCTCTGCAGTTGATAATAATGAAGCACAGAAAAAAAAACAGGTAAGTACAACTGGTATAGTATAAAAAAATTTTGCACATAGGAAAGTTTTTCTTTGTATATGTGTTTTTTCAGTGCTTATCACAAAATAAGACTAAAAGGGTGTTTGTTGGCTGCAGCTGAACCTTTATTTTCCATAGTATAGCAGTAAATATAAATTTTTTTTGAAAGAAAGGTTCTCATGATTAATCTTTGAAACTTGCCTACATATTTTAAGTTTTACCTAGAAAAACTTTGCATATAATTTTTGTTGACAGGCTTCTGGAATTATAACCATTTCTCTTCTCTTGAATAATAATTTACCCTTAGTAATATTCAAATGATATTTTTGATTCCTGACTCTAGGAAGCGTTGAAACTTCAGCAGGATGTAAGGAAAAGGAAACAAGAAATTTTAGAAAAGCACATTGAAACCCAGAAGGTAAAATATTAAAGTTAGATTTGGCAAAATATATTTGCAAATGTTATAATTTTGAGTCAACTTAATCTTATACTATCTAGTCATAAACAGATTTACTTTAATTGGTAATGGTAAAACAAATATCAGTGATAATATATTAGAGACGAAGAGCATATATTAAATTGTGGGTATACTTTAGTACCATGGTTATCAACATAAAATGAAATTAAGGTATTCATCTACCTGTGTTGCTGCACAGTAGATTGTTCAACAGATAATTAAATGGAACCTTTTTTCTCAGTATTGATATGTAACTTTCTTCAATAGCTTAGAATCCTCTAGTCCTCTGTTGTTTAGTATAGCAGTCAGTAGCCACATCTAACTATTGAGTATTTGAAATGTGTCTATTCCAAATTTAGATTTGCTGGAATATAAATACACACTAGATTTCAAAATGTAGTACCAAGAAAAAAGTAAAATATCACAATAATTGTTGAAATGTCACATTTTGGATATATTTCTTTAAACAAAATATTTTATTAAATTGTATTTGTTTTTATGCTTTTAATGTGACTACTAGAAAATTAAAAATTACTTATGTGACTTGCCTTCTTTTGGACAGTATTACTCTAATTTATGACATTTAATTAGTCTCAGTTCTTGATTATGTCTAGTAATGAGGGTTTAGTAGTATAACATTTCAAAATATTGAAAATACAGAAACTACATTTTGATGTGAAATGTATATCTTTTCTAATTTAAAGTTGGATATAGTTGATTAAGAGAAATCACAGTGTTTCACAAAACCAATAACTGAAGCCATCCTGATTCAGGAAACTACAATAATCATGTGGCTTCTTTTACCCTATATTATTTTGCTTACCTTGTTGTTTCTTGTTCATATTGGGAATATCATTCTCAGGTGAAAAAGTAATTAAATATTCATTTTTTTCTAATATCTCATTGAATGAAAGGAATCATAAAACTTTTTCTCTGGTTCTTTCTGGGCTGCATATTACATTGATAGTGGGAATACTTAGAGGCAATAACATCATCAAATGGGTTAGACAGTGAAATTATTAACATATTTTTCATATTGATAATTTTTTAGTGTTAGAATTGAGTTTCTTCTGGTTGTGTGCTTTGAACTTATGTTCTGAGAGACCCAAAATAGTAATAGTTCTTCACAAAGTTAGCCAGGAGTAAGACTTGAATTGAGATATGGTTAACATCACTAGATGTGCTGTTCTGCTGTCTTTAGATAATTAGTGGTTGTTAGCCTTCTCATGAATGCATAAACTAAAAAAAAATAGTAATATTTATTTTTAAACTTCCTTTGCAGTGTTTGTTTTGTTAATGGTAGTAGAACTAATTAGCTTTATTTTTCTCCTTTTAAAAATTTGGCAGATGTTAATTTCAAAACTGGAGAAAAACAAAACAATGAAGTCTGAAGATAAAGCAGAAATAATGAAAACTTTAGAGGTTTTGACGAAAAATATTACCAAGTTAAAAGATGAGGTCAAAGCTGTTTCTCCTGGACGCTGTCTTCCAAAAAGTATAAAAACCAAGACTCAGGTATTTTAATTTGTACTGTTCATGTTATTACTTATTAAAAAGCATTAAACACTACCTTTTTGAGTTTTTCTTGTAGGTAATATCTTTTGTTCAAAATCTGACCATTGTATATTCCATTATTCCCCTGCCTTATATAAAAAAATAAGTACAAACAAGTAAACTCTACTAATCTTTTAAATTCTGTGAAGTTATAGTTGGAAAGTCAGTAATTACAAAAGTAGTCATGGGTAATCTTGAAAAGGCATCTTGAGACAAAGTGATATAGGTATTTGACCGCTTGACAAGGGTTTAAGTTTTATATTACATAATAGTTGTGGTATAGAGGGTTAATAACAGAAAAGTATTACCATACTGTATAGAACAAATTGATTGAAAAGGGGAAAATTCAGATAGATCAACCTATTGGATACAAATAAGTAAGCAAGATAGTTTTAAATGGTAATAAGTGATTAAGAAAAAAAAAACAGTGTTATACAATGTTCATACTTGGTTTGTCTGTATTTATGTATATATGTATAAAGTCATGGCTGATGTTTTTTAAATTCAAATTCAACACCACATGGTTCTTCCTTTTCTTAGTTCATATTTTATCTCTATTCCCATAATGACAACTTGGTCCCACTGATACTAATATATTATTTATTAACACAATACTGTAATACATTCAAAGTAGTTCCAAAATTGCTACAACAATGCCACTTCCAGCAACTAACTAAATATAAAATTCAAAATTTTTTTACATTCTTTACAGCCTTGCTGTATTCCACTAAAAGTGTAAAGTCAGCCTGGTCAACATGGTAAAACCCCGTCTCTACTAAAAATACAAAAAATTAGCTGGGCATGGTGGCGCATGCCTGTAATCCCAGCTACTCAGGAGGCTGAGGCAGGAGAATTGCCTGAACCCAGGAGGTGGAGGTTGTGGTGAGCCAAGATCGCTCCATTGCACTCCAGCCTGGGTAACAAGAGTGAAACTCCGTCTCAAAAAAAAAAAGTGTAAAGTCAGAACTGTGTTCTAAAATTACTTCCCCCCCATTTTGTGTAGTTGTTATTAGTTTGATAATATTGAGTCTATTTGCATTTGTATTCAGTTTCAATCCCCTCTCCCTGGCCCCCATTCTTGCTTATTGTATTTTATTTTTTGAAGAAGAAAAACAATTCTTAGGGTTCAAAAGCAAAACTATATAAAAAGGAATACATAAAAGATCCCTTACCCTTTGATTCCTGGCACTCTGTCCCCGCCCATCCCTTGTAGGTCACTAGTATCATTAGTTCTGGTTTATCCTAGTTTTTCTTTTTATAGATATATGTATGTAGATAGATATGTTTCCTACATAAAAACATATTTTGTATTGCTCGTTAGCACCTTGGTTTTTTAGGGTTTGCTTTTTGCTTTTCCTTTCAGTTATTTCCTTTAAATAATCCCATATCAGTCTATATAATTCTCCTTCTGGCTGCTGTATGGAAAAGGAATTATAGGAAAATCAGTGAAAGTAGCAACAAGTTAGGGAACTATTGCAGTATTGTAGAGGTGTGTATTTTGGCTTGGACGAAAGGTTGTACTGGAGATATATATAGGTTAAATGGGATGTGTTAAAGTTCTTTTAAAAAGTTTTATATCAATGCAGGATAATAATTACTGTCATCTAAAATATTAATCACTATTTTTTAGATGCAAAAGGAATTACTTGACACAGAACTGGATTTATATAAGAAGATGCAGGCTGGAGAAGAAGTCACTGAACTTAGGAGGAAGTATACAGAATTACAGCTGGAAGTATGTTTCATCACAACTACACAGTAGTCTTAAAGGAAGCAAATGTAGTTGTAGTGGTCAGCTTAAAAATATATTGCCTTCCCTTCATTCTCATTAAAAATTGTTGGTAATCCCTGACATACATATTGGGATATTAATATAGGAAAGAGGGAAGACGTCAACAAATTTTTCAGAGCTACTAGATAAAATCTTACTTAATGAGAAGTGGCAGTAATTTTGCCTAATATCCCCGAGTTCTTCCATTTCTAATGAATTTTATTTCTCTTCTATTTTTGGTCTATCCTTCCTGGGATAGGAAACTTATAATAAAGGCTTTTCATATATTCTTATGGAGATATTCTTTGCATATAAATTGAGTTGCTGTAAGTATGAGAGTTTTAGTTGGAGAACTATATTGAGAACTATTTTGAAGAATATGTTTACTTGAATTTTGCCTATAGATGGTGCTGTGGATGTTTAGAAAAGAAATAAACTTTTTTTGTAATTTAGTTAGGTGGTTATTTATATAAAAACCGATAGTGAAATTGATTCCTATTATATAACACGAGAGAGAATTTTTGAATAGCAAAATGATGTTCAGAAATTGGAATTATATTTTGAAATAGACATTGATGTCATTAAAATAGTTGCCACATGTCTATATCATGATTTGATACAGGAATTTAAGGTTTTTATACTTGAGATTATTTTTCTTTATCTGAGATTCTTTTTTTCTGAATTTGTTGGTAGGCTGATCATTTTTTATGACACGATGGAAATCTATTTTAAATACTGTCATCCAGGTATTAAAGACTTAACATTTAGTAGCTACCAGACTTCCCTTAAAGCTCTGTTTTCTCTGAAAGTCATGAGAAGCCATAGGATGTTGTCCTAAACGTGCATCCCTTTGCATTCTCTGAAAACTCGATATGTTTGCATGTGTGTCCTGCCCAGTATTTTTTTGGGGGGAAAAAACAGTTTGAAAAAGATAACTTTTATGTTAATAGAGAAATTGTGTTTTTCCCATTGTAGCGATTTCATGCCAGTATTGGTGGAATCTTCAAACAAAATAGTATTTAAAAATGTTCTGACCCATGACTTAAATAAATAATAGCATTACCAAAATTCTTTATTATTGTGTGTTTTGCTTTTTTATTGTAACATAGCTAAACACTGAATGGCAATTTTTGTTTTTCCTTTATCACAACTTATGTTTAGTTTTCAGTGAATATTAGTTTTATGGAGTAGTGCAGTACTTCCCAGAGTGTGTTCATTTGCTACAGTAATTAATTCATTAGGTGTTAATAGAAAACTGGTGAAAAAACGTTCTTAAGCTAAATAATACAACCTTGGGACAGGTTGTATTGGACATGCGTTTTTACTGTGGGGTTTCTTAGAGGCTTTTAATTTCTCAATCTTTAAAAATACATATTAAGTTTTCAGTGTTACTCAAACTTATTTGTCCATGGACCCCCCTTTTCAAGGAGCATTTTGAAGCATTAATATTCCTCAGAAGATACTTTGGTATATAATGTTCTATTACTAATATTAATCCTTGGGCTTTAAAATTTATTATGTATTGTTATATTGACAAATGGAAAGTTATGTATAATACAAAATGTTATGTTTATGTTGAGAAGTAATTACATCAAGCTAACATATCCATCACCCCACATACTTGTGATTTTTTTTTTGATGAAAATTGAACATTTAAAATCTCTCTTAGCAGTTTTCAGGTATACAATTATTATTATTAACTGTAGCCACCAACCACTGCTGTACAATAGATCTCTAGAACTTGCTCTTCCTATCTGACTGAAATGTTGTATGCTTTGACCAACATCTTTCCATTCTTTATGCCTTCACAGCCCCTGGTAACCACTATTCTGCTCTCCGCTTATATGAATTTGATCCTTTTAGATTCCATGTAGTAAGTGAGATCATACAGTATTTGTCTTTCTTTGTCTGGCTTATTTCACTTAGCATTATTATTTGGATATTAGATGATTATTTTAGCTAATGTTAAGATTAACTGTCTTGAGATGAAGAAACTGAAATACCTGCACTAGGAGAGATTTGGTAGTTGTGTCTGCTTGACACTTCCATTTGGATATCTCACATCTGAGACTCAACATCTTAAAAATTTTGCTTATCTTGCTTCTACACCACATCTATACAGTTACCCAAACCAGAAATTTGTCAGTCTTAATTGATCCTCCCTTTCCTTCAGCATCTATATCTAATTAATTACCAAATTTTACATATGTTACTCCTAAATGTATCTTAAATGCGTTTATTTCTATCTCCATTGCCACCACTATAGTCTGGACTTTCTTCTTCAGGTCTTCTGTAGTGGCATACTGAATGGTTTCCCAGTTTCTTTTCTTTCTTCTACTCTGTTCTTAAAACTCTAGCCAGAATATCCTTTTCAACACTAATTTGGTTTTATCACTCTTTTACTGCTTAAAATCTTTTAATTGGTTTTCATGGCTCTTGGGATAAAACTCAAAATCCTTAACATGATCCTTAAAGTTATGCCTCTCCAAGTTTATCTCTACATCCAGCTAGGCTGGATTGTATTCATTCTTTGGGAAATTACATTCCTTTCAGCCTTGGTGCCTTTTTTCATGCAGTAACCTCTACCTGATTCTTGCTTTTTTTCTTTGTTTTTTCTTTGATTCATTGAATAAGTATTAAATACAATCCACCAGCTACTGCTGGGGATAAAAAAGAGAATAAAATGGAAACAAAAAATGCTTTCAAGGAATATTTATTCTAGTGGGTTATTCACTGCAAATCTTTAAAGTTCTTTTCAAATCTTAAAAGCATTTATTCACATTTTGAGTCACTTCTCATTAATATAATACATAACTTTGTTGTTGTTGTTGTTGTTACTGTTATTGTTACTGTGTTTTCTGAGATGGAGTCTTGCTCTGCCACCTGTGCTGGAGTACAGTGGCATGATCTCGGCTCACTGCAACCCCCGCCTCTCAGGTTCAAGTGATTCTCCTGTCTCAGCCTCCCAAGTAGCTGGGACTACAGACATACGCCACCATGCCTGGCTAATTTTTTGTGTTTTTAGTAGTGACAGGGTTTTGCCATGTTGGTCAGGCTGGTCTTAAACTCCTGGCTTCAGGTGATCTGCCCACCTCAGCCTCCTGAAGTGTTGGGATTTCAGGCTTGCACCATCGCTCCCAGCCATAACTTAGTAGCTTGATGCCTCTTTACTCTTAGGATTTGAGTTTCATGAGGGTAAAGACTTGCACACAAAACATGCTCATTAAGTATTTGTGGAATGAAGGAATGGTGTGCTATCCTCATACAGAATAATGTGGTAGAATATCCATTGGTTCTATAATGATATTAGTAATAAGTAATTAAAATGATTTAACTACCTGTTGAAGTCAACTGGCAAACAAATAGAAACATTATATTTGAAAATCATAACTGGAAAAATTATTTATTGTGAATGTAAATATTACTTATCTGTTTATTAGCCTGACTTCTGAAGTAACATTTAACACTGGATTATCAGGAGCTGGAAATATACTTGGAAATCAGGAGTTGCTGATCTTTTTGTGATATATCCTGATATCTTAGAGAGCAAGAACTTAGAAAAAGGCACATTTGGTAATTCCAGAACTTCAGTGTTATATTTTTGTTTCGATTAACTAGCCACCTAAATTCGCTTACACCAAACTAAAACCCTAATTTAAATTATGTGGTCCTTTTATAGGGCATTTGAATACATTGTCAAACTGCATTAAAGTTATTCATCTGCCAGAGTGTAATGCTTGGCTTGTGTTAGTAATTGCAGCATTGTTTAACCTGTGTGTCTGATCTCTTCTAGGCTGCCAAACGAGGGATTCTTTCATCTGGTCGGGGCAGAGGAATTCATTCAAGAGGTCGAGGTGCAGTTCATGGCCGAGGCAGGGGGCGAGGGCGAGGGCGAGGTGTGCCTGGTCATGCTGTGGTGGATCACCGTCCCAGGGCATTGGAGATTTCTGCATTTACAGAGAGTGATAGAGAAGATCTTCTTCCTCATTTTGCGGTACTTTCTTACTGCTCAACGAAACAAATACTGATAATCATCATTGGGGATAGTAGACATAATTAAAGAGGAAATTATGAAAAGAATATGAGTAATTTCAACCTGTTAGTCTGAACAAAGGGTTTGACTAATCTTTAATTTTTTTGTTAATTTGAAAACAGAAACTGTAGGATTTGTGTAATTATTTAGAAGAGGCATTACTATTCTTATACCGAGTAGGCCATGAAACATTATGAGATGAACAATATAAACTTTATTGTTTCAGAGAGGGAAGTCTTGTGGTTTAGTTTGATTTGATATTTACATTTAAAGAAAAAGTTAACATACTACATGGGCCATGCAGATTTTTAAAAATTAAAATTGGGTTTGTGTTTGCTAAAAATTTATTCTTGATCTAGCTGACCCAGTATTGAAACAACATAAAATTTTGACCTGTGATCTTGAAGTTGCCTCAGTAATTGTCAGGGTATAAAAAAAAGAGTCTATCTAAAAGTAATAGATTGACCTACTAGAAGGGAGAATAGGATTGTATTCTCTGTTAACCCATTATTTAACTTGGACTGCCTGGGATTTATTAGGCTGATGTTCAAAATGGAGATTGTACCTGCTGAATGGCCCTTTCATCTTAAATGCTGTGATTCTTAGTGGTATCACAAAGGTTGGTTACTAAACATCAGTTTTACCCTCAGGATTATATTTAATAGTGGTTGCTCTGGATATAGGAAGGAAATAATCACTTCTTTATCCTTAAGGCTTTTACCTGTATCAGTTTAACACAAAGTAAAGTACAGACATACTTTATAATCAAATCACAATTTATTAAGCACTATAAATACTTTAGTAACTTAGAGAAGTATCATGTGGGCATATGATATAAAAAAAACAGGAAACTTTCATGAAGTAGTAAACTAGTTTAGATCTAAAAGAATAGGTAAACTAGTAGGTAGGTACATAAATGATTTAACCTTTTGAAAATTCAGACTTAGGTGTTTAAAAATCATATTGTAGGCTTGCAGCAGTTTTGGATATTTTGTCAGGACATATGAAGATATTGACAGAAGTGATTTATGCTTAAGAAATAACTAAAATGATTAGTATTTAAAAATGAGGAGTCTAAAGTCCTGTTCTTGATGGATTTAAAGAGATAAAGAAAGGAATTAGAGAACTAGAAAGCTTGGAGATAATCTTGCCCAACTCTTCCCTGCTGTGTGTGTACCCTACTTCCACACCTTCCACAAGAGAAAGGAGATCCAGATAACTTGTATGTTGTATATAGTTTTATAGCTAATCAGGAAATTAACAATGAATGTGCTAAAATAATCCAAACAGGAAAGGTGAGTTTGTTGTGATTACGTTTTGGTGAGACTAAGGTGCTTTTGGCTTGATAAATATTCAGAGCCTCTAAATGAAAATTCTAACATGCATTTGGACATTCAAATTTCACTCCAGAGTTAACAGTGATAATTCACATTTAAATTACTAGTCTTAAGTAAAAGCGTAGGTTTAACTGAAGTTTAGCTTCTCTCTCTCAACCTATAATTTGAACACATGATGGATGTCAAAAGAAAATATTTATATTATTTAATATCTATAATATTAAGGGACCATTAACTATTACAAATTGTGATTAACAAAATGCTGTCTGTATCTTCCAGTACCAGTAGTAACAGTAATAAAAATTATAGCTAAAAACCTATAGAGCACTTATTTTGTGGCAGGTACGCCTTCTGAGTGCCTTATAATAATTCATTATGAGTTATTTGGATAAACTTGTGAGGTAGGTACCTTTATTATGCACATTTTAGAGATGAAGAAAATGATGCATGATGAGGTTAAGTAACTTTTTTACACAGCTAATAACTGGTAAAGCTAGAATCTTGGTGGCTCTAGGACATTCTCTTTACTGTGCTCTATAGAACATTTCTGTGGTATGTGTGGATCTAATGAAATTAGTTACAATTTTTGGGGGTATAAGAGGGAAGGCATTAGTAATATATAAAGGACTAGAATTTTGTGTGATAAAGGTTGCTGTTTGTAGAAAAATCCTTCCACACATAAGGGAAGAAATTCAACAAACCAAAAACAGGAATAATATAGTGTGTTTAGCTTTTAACTGTTCTAAACAATAAAGTATAGTGGAGTTATATAGTAAGCAAAAGCATGGTCAGTTAGAACGTTAAACTTTTGAATCAACAGACCTAGAATCTCATCCCAGTAATTAACAATTACTTTGGGGAAGTTACTTAAATTTTCTATTTCTTTCTTTCCCCATTTTTTGGAAATGATACCAGAATTTTGAGGATTCAATATGTTGCTTAAGAAAGAGTTTATCTTGGGATTGGTTTAATAAGTATAAGAGGAAGGTTCGTTAGCAAGGAAGCTCAGGCTTTGACCATTATTTTTTTCATTTAAAGCAAAAATAGTTCAATCGAGTATAAGTTTTACTAATTCTTTGAAGTGTGAGTTGTAAATAAGATTGGGAGTTAGGGCCACCTTCTATCTTACAATATCAAGGACTAAAATAAATTACTCACCATACTTTTCTGTTAACCATTATGAATTGTTATGTATTCTGGGTTATATTTATTAGTATTTTAATGTTTTTTAATACCATTAGGATTTTTGGATATTTCAAAATATTTATTTGGAGGAAATACTTTTTTTTTAATTTAAAGCAATATGGTGAAATTGAAGATTGTCAGATTGATGATTCTTCACTTCATGCAGTAATTACATTCAAGACAAGAGCAGAAGCTGAAGCAGTAAGTTTTAAAAATAATTTATCAATTCAGATTTAAATGATTTATAAGTATTACTTTTAAGTTTTAATACAAATTAATTTTTTAACTTAATAATATGCTTTGACAATAGGTAGAACACCTGAAGTGGAATTTATGCCCTCAAAGAATGTCCTAATGCAGTTAGGCAATCCTGTGTATAACATAATAAAATTAAAATGCATATTTAGTCACCAAGTGGAATGTCAGATTGTGTTGTCGTGAGATATCAGGGATTCTCTTTTCTTTCTTTTAGGTAGTAGATAGGGCCACCCCACTACCCATTATTCTTTTTTTTTTTCAGCTGACCCAAAACAGGATCTGCTTTGTCAGAATGAGTGGTGAGGGATAAGGTACAAGCAGTTCTGATATCTGCCATCTTAATCATTTCTCATTTACTGCTTATTCGTCTCATCAGGTTGAAATCTAAAAAAAAGTGTCCCTAAGTTCAGCATATCCCCATTTAGACTTCTCTCACTTTTTGCCCAAGACATGTATATACCTCTAGCTTAGTAAAGTTATCTTGACCCATCAATCTTGAATTGTCTTTCTGAGTATTGACTGGAATATATGTAACCGTGTCTTTCATTTGGGTTTCAAAGATTTGAAAAAGGAAAATGGGAGTAAGTGTGGGGGATTCATAGGAGATAGGAGGCTCTTTGTTTGTTTGTTTGAGATGGAATCTTGCCCAGTCACCCAGTCAGGAGTGCAGTGATGCTCTCTTGGCTCATGTCAGCCTCCGCCTCCCAGGCTCAAGCAATTCTCCTGCCTCAGCCTCCCAAGTAGCTGGGACTGCAGGTGTGTGCCATCACACCCGGCTAATTTTTGTAAAGATGGGGTTTCACCATGATGGCCAGGATGGTCTCCATCTCCTATCCTCACTATCCGCTCGCCTTAGCCTCCCAAAGCGCTTGGGATTACAGGCATCAGCCACTGCGCCTGGTCAGGAACGTTTTTTGCGCTATGTGTTCTTTCCTTAGGACTTATAGAGAAGATAATGTAACTGTTTTGTCCTTGGAATTGTTCTGAGGATGAAATAGTTTTTTAAATGAAAGCAATAAAAGAGAGATGCTTTTCAGAAGTTTTAAGTTGATTGTAACTTAAATTTTGAAAAAAACCTCTAAATTTATTTATGCCCTTTGTAGTGAATATTCTCAGCCAGCACAGTGGTCCATTGCTTACCTGATAGAAGTTGCCCTTGGGGCATTGTAACCAGTATAAGACTGTGGGACCCTTGAAATAATCTAGTTTGGGGGTTGGAGGTAGGAAGTAGCACATTATTTTTTATAAAATAGGAATTCTTGGTATTGGGATATTTTCTTTTTAAAGCTAGTTTTGAATAATCATTTCTTTTAACAATCTTTTGTGAAAGTAAAAAGTAATTTAAAATAGATGAGATTTTAAAACTTTCTTATAAACTTGTATGTTCGTATGTTATATTGAAAAAAGTAGATCTTTCATTAAATGTTCTTTCCAGGGTATTTTTAAGTGGAAGTTTAGAATAAGCTTCCTTTCAGCGATGGCTTCAGTTGACAGTTTTTAGTCTATTGCTAGATAGGTAGTTTTATGTTCTATTTATTTTCCAGGGAATAGTGGTATTATAAAACAATGGTAGTTATTACTATACAAATGGTTAAAATATTACCAAATTTATGGATTTAGTAAGAACTTTAAATATGTACTACTTCCCTTGCTTGTTGCTTATATAGCTGAGAAAAAATTAAAACCTCTTGCTTCTTAAATCTTTGGAAATTTTGCACATGGAAAGACCTATTGACACATACCTTCTTTCTTGCATCTTGCTTTTTGTGCCTTAGATGATGCATTTTTTGGAATGAATAGCAATTAGAAATACCAGGCATTAATATATAAGGAAGACTTTAACACTGAATTACATGGAGATTGAATAAGTGACAGAATAATTAAGGTCAAGTTCGGTCTAATGAAAGTTACCTATTTAGAGTAAACAGCTTTAGTTGGATTTACTTAATAGGCTAGAAAGAGTAACTACCAACTGCTATGATAAGTGTTTGGATTTTTAGTTATAAAAGTTGTTAAACCATAAATGTGTCCTTAAGCCAGAAAGTTTCTTAAAATTTTGTAAAGTTAAAAAGAACAGAAAATTAAGTTGAATCCTATCTTATATAAGCAGGATACAGGTAGAGCAGTGGTCTTCAAACTTTTGGATTTCAGGGAATAGTAATGTTTAGGAATTTAAAAATTTGTGTGTTTGTCATAGAGATACCAATTTTTTTATTTTGCCAGGGAAAAATACTTTAAAAATACAAAACAATTGTCATATACTGTCACCGTTGTTACATAAAATAAAGGAAATTTTAACACTGAAAATGTAGGAGAACATACACTCACAATAAAGGATAGGCCTTCCTGAGAAAAGAAAATTGTCAGCCTTTGCCAATGTTTATTTTCGAATACTACATTGTTTTTATTCTCTGAACCATTGTCCTAGATGAGTGAATGAATTTATTTTCTATACTCAATAAATGCATAGTATTTCAAGGTGAAAGTATAGGAATAAATAAGATAATTGAGACATTCATATAAGTGAAAAGTGAGAAATTTTCCTCAGGAAAAGTATTAAAGCATTTTAAAGAATAGAAATATAAGCAGAACACTTAGCTTTAGCTTAAGATGGTTTATAGTTTGACTTGTCCTGTTAGAAGATGGTTCCTGTTACTTTCTTTCTTTTTTTTGTCTATCATCACAACGTCTAAAGTTGGGTAAGTACTCAGACAGGAGTAAAGAAGTAGTCTCTTCCCGTGACTGATTAGAATATTATCTTTTCTACACTGAATTATTACTATGCCTTTGGAGGAGTCCAAGATCCTGTTCAGAGTAGGAATAATTAAGTTGCTATTTGAACAATCAGACCAAAAATGACACCTACAGTCCCAAACTCAGGTACAATTTTTTATATCAGAAGGTAAGAGGAAACAGGCATGGTGTTATAATCCCACCCCTTTGGAAGGCCAAGGCAGGTGGGAGTTCTAGACCAGCCTGGGCAACATGGAGAAACCCCCTCTCTACCAAAAAATACCAAAAAATTAGCCAGGTGTGGTGATGAGCACATGCAGTCCCAGCTATTCGAGAGGCTGAGATGGGGGGATCACGTGAGCCCAGGAGGCAGAGGACACAGTGAGCTGAGATCATGTTACTGTGTGTCTTAGAGAGCAAAGAAATAGGGGGAAAGAGAATCATGCTTTACTAAGTGGATTCAATCAAAAGAAGTAAAATTATGTGCATAGCAGAGTTTTTGTGTGTGTTTTTACTGATAATAGTTATTAAGTACTGCTATGTAATGGGCACTGTGCTACCAGAATTAGTAACTTGAGGTCTGAAGATTTTGGGAAAGTGGCCATGTACATTGAACTCAAGAGTTATAGAACTGGAAATCTTCCTTTGTAACTTCTAAAAATTAGATTTTGCATGTTTTTTAAAATTTGTGATTATATATAATTATATATAGTTGTGTTCATAACTCCTGCTTAAACATTCTGTAACATTACAAATATTAATAAACTTGCTTTTAGCCTTCTTTTATATATTAGTTTTATTATTGTTACTAAAAATGTAAGGAACCATAGGATTGCAGCTTAAACACTTCGGTAATTATCCATATCTCAAGTCAGTTTTCTCCATAGTGTTTGCAGAACACTCTTTCTGCAGGAGATCTCCTAACAAAGGATTCTCTTGTCAGATAAGTTTGCGAAAGACTGCATTTGTATATTCCATTTAGAATTATAGTGTAAATGGATTAAGTCCAGAGGTAAGCAAACCAGTTTAATTTTGTTTCACCCAACATCTTTCCAAAATTAAATGTTTCCAGAACATCAGAACATTTTCCATGTAAGATGTGGAATTCACACTTTTCATAGTGTTTTTCTCCTTCTTAGATCTTTAGCCTTTTTGCTTTTTGTTGTATATATGCTTTTCTTAATTTACTGTAAGCTTTGAATCAATGTGTATAAGAATGGATAGTCAAAGGACTAGAGGCAAGCCTCTGAATAAAATATTTCAGCTTTAAAACTCAATTTTTGTGTACATTTTATAGTATAGAAATTAGAATTGTAAAATGTATTCCCATATGCACATCATTGAGCTTCAGCAGTTATCCACTTAGGGCCAATCTTATTTTGTCTATATTTCACTTACCACAACTCCCCTACTCCTTATTTTGAAGCTATTCACAGTCATTGTATTTCATCTGTTAATATTTCAGTATGTGTTGCTCAATGATAGAGCCTTTAAAAAATACAATGCTATTATCCCACCTAAAATTTATATTTCTAAGTATCAAATATCTAGTCAGGGTTGGCATTTGTCTTAATTTCTTGTAAATTTATAAGAAAAAAATTTAAAATAAAGATCCAGATAAGGTTCATATTTTGATATGGCTTGATTGCTGTTATGCAGTCAGAAACTCATATGTAAATATTCTATGGGTACAAAACCATTCTTCCCAGTTCTTAATGTTGAAGTTGTTCCGTCTTTGGCCAGGAGACTACAGGTTGGCTCCTGAGTGCTTTTGACAGGACCCTGTGGTTTGTGATAGTTTTGTTGCTTCTGGTATAAGGTGTTCTAGGTTGATCTTAAACACTGTCTCTTCTAGACCTGGAATTGACCACTTCTCTGAGGAATTTTGGTTTATTTATTAGCAAAGGTATTTAGACACTACAATCTGGGTACTAGAGGTACACATTACTATTAAGTATGTTACTGTCACTAATCCTTTTCAGTCAGAGCTGGGGGTTAAAAATTATACACATATATAAAGGTAAAATAAATTTAGAGCTCATACTGATACTTTGCTTTTAATTCAGGGCTATAAAGTTTTTAATACATATACATATATACATACATATGGGTAGATAGGTAAAGATAAATTCAGAATTCATTCTGATACTTGTTAGTTCTAGACTATATGTTTTTTACTTAATCTCATGGGTCTTAATGTCTGCTTTTTT